ACATTAAAATTAAAATTGGTAAAATTTTAAAAAAAATAGTTTAATTTTATAAATTATTTTTTTCTAATTCAACCAATTTTAATTTCAAAACTTCAATTATATGTAACCGTACATAACTTGAGTTGTGTTTGGAAGTACCTAAGTTTAAGAGTTTAAGAATTAGAATCGAAAAAATTTTAATTTAAGTTTTGAACTAAATTTCTTTTAATTCCAATTTCAAATTGGTAGTTTCAAATGCAATATATGACTTGAAATGATGTATTGAAATTAGAATAAGAAGAAACTGAGTCATTGCCTGGTTTGTAACTCTAAAAACATTTTTTTGTTCTCAGAAAATTAAAAATAGAAAATTGCAGAAAAAACTTTTGGTTCCGTTTTCTGTAAACTCAGTTATAAAAATGTGTGTTTTCAGAGAACTGTCTTTTATTATTCTCTGAAAACTGTTTTCTATTCTCTGAATTCTTGAAAACTATTTTCAAAATTACAAATCAAGTAAACTCTGAACTTTTTCCAAACTAGTTTTTCTATAATACATATATATATATATTTTTTGAAAAAAGAAAAGAAAAAGAAAGGACAAATCCCTAGATATCTCAGTTACTTAAAAAAAAGCTTTGCATCAATTTTAATTTCAAAGCATGAATTCGATACTTCTTACTTGTGAGTTGTATAAAAAAATTAGGCTAGTCAAGAGTAAAAATTGTCCAGTATTGACCTATATGGTTTGAAATAGGCAAAAACATCACAAAAATGTAAAAATATATTGGATCAAGAAAAGAGTTATTAGTTATCAAAAAGAACTTTTAGTTCAATGGTATAACTATAAAGTATATCCCAACCTTAAAGAGGGGAGAAAGAGTTCAAGTCCCGAAAACAATAAAATAAAAAGATTCAGTTTGAAATGTTCAAAGAAAAAAAAAAAAAAAAAAAATTAGGTTTCACATTGGACTAATTTAGGCTTAAATAATTCAATATTGATCTGAGTATATGTCACAAAACTAGTACCTTCAACTAAGGCCTAGAGAGAGGCCCTATACTCCTATGTCGATCAAAAGTGGTGTTATGCCACATCATCAACTTAAATATAATATTATGACGCGGCATAAATAGCATTATCTAATTAATCATCCCACATCTCCATTACAATAGAGGGTCCACTTTCTAAACAATGTAGCAAGTACTTATACAAATATATTGTATGAAATTTTATTCAAAAAAGGACTACTAATTTACAAAATCTGCACACCTCTCAAATTTAGAAAATTAGAAAACAATGTAGCAAGTAATTATACAAATATATTGTACGAAATTTATTAAAAAAAAGGACTACTCAATTTGACTTTTTGAAACTAAAATAGTCCAATATTGATACGTGTGCCCCAAAAATGGTACATTTTGATTGTACCTAAACAAAACACTCGAAGCAGAACAAAATTTAAAAAAACAACTCCACGTTTTTAAATGTGCAAAAAAGTCTAGGGAATGCCAATCATGAAAAAGTTAATGCCAGTTTTTATTTTTATTTTTATTTTTATTTTTTATTTTTATTTTTATTTTAAACCAAAATGTTGTAAATATTTTAAAAAACAACTCCACGTTTTTAAATGTGCAAAAAGCCTAGGGAATGCCAATCATGAAAAAGTTAATGCCAGTTTATTTTTTATTTATTTTTTAAACCAAAATTTTGTAAATATTGTGAAATTCTATTGTGTAAAGCTTAATCAGTATGTGCATATACTGGTTAGAACTTATTACCTTAGAACCAATTATAAATCTTATTATTACCTTAGAACCAACTAGTAGCAAAAAAAAAAAATCAACAAATAAACTATTATTTGTTTAATTAATTAATTAATTTTACTAATTTGGTCCAGGATGGATACAATATTTGAAATGGACATTTGATTTTTTTAATTTAATTTTTCCCAATTTTTGGCTCCATACCATGATTGTGGAAACTAGCCCATCACTGTCCTAACGCAAATGGATGGTGATGAAAGCACAAGGATTAAACATTCATAAATCAAGTCAAAGCACCTATAATTGGCTCACTTTGGAAAACATAGTTTTTACATTTTTTTTTTCTTTATATATTGATCAATGAATATATATATAAGTTCTGAATATATAAATACAGTGATTGTCAACTCCAAATTATTTAAAATCTGGTTGGTATGATATGCATATTCACTAGTATATGCCCAGTAAAAGATGATATACTCCTGTCTGCTTTACAAACCATGAGATTCTCTTTTTAAAAAATAAATTTCATGTGCAGTAGTACATTCTGGTACATGCATTTCATGAAATCATATAATTACAAAGCTTCAACAATTGTTTTAATTAATAGAATTAAATTTGATTCTTCTTGTTGTATATTGCAGAGAATATAACATCATCATCTTCAAATATAATGCCTAGGGTTTGGCAGTTTTGGACTAGTCATAACTAGGGTTTGAATTAGCTGGTTTGGGTTGATTAATTATACTTAAATCACATTCACGGGTGTATTATTCTTTTTTTCTATGGGAATGACGCACAAGGAGAGTACTGTTTATCGAACAACCGGCAAAGCACTGCATTGCCCTATGTGGAGTATCATTTAGCAGATCTGTAGAAGACATGGGGAGCTCAAACTGGTTTGTTTTACCCCTTGTCCATGTCCGAGAATCGTGACACGACGAAAGAATTAAGCTCTTAAACTATTAGTCCTTTGAATAATTAAAGGGTTAGACCAATAATTAATCTACTAATTGTTCTTTAAGTACACCGTAATCTTGACTGCTTTTGATAATGACTTTGTGGCAGAAGGACTTCATGGTTCACCATTTTGATAAGTACTATTATTATTAGCATGATGATCGGCTTCATAATAATCATCATCATCATCATCATCTAAGTCTTAATTTTTCCTTCTGAATAAACTCCGAGACCCTTAAAATTTTGAAAGTTGTATGCAGGTCAAGTGCATTTTCAATATGTTCATCTGGTTTTCATTGTTTTCAAGGCATCAAACTTCATTTTGTTCCTAAACTTAATTTCAATAGTTATTCATTCGTTAGACTTCAAAATAACAATTTTCTGTAATGATGTGTATTTTAATACACTTCTGATTAAGAATAAACAACATCCACTTGGTTTAGACTTAAGCCTATGTTTTAAATATATTAGCAATTTTTTTTCAAATATATTTTGTTAAACGAAGAACGATCATTTTATATAGTTTACATTAATTAACATACAAACCTAAGTAGGGAATTAGTCCCACCTAGCTTTTCAGCGTTTGAAGGAGACCAGCAAATTTGCTAATTGTCCTCCAGGTGGAGCGATAATCTCGAGTCAATCAATCCTAATTAAGTTAATCAAAGATTAATTAACTCACTAAGATGCTTTTTCCTGCATACGTCATGCATGGCCATTAAATTCAATATTAGACCTATATAATAAAGTAATTTTGTGAGCTACTGATGTCACTGCTTCAGATCCATTACTCAAACAAGGAGATTAATAGTTAATTAATGACCTAAAAAAAATTAATGAGGGCCGTGATTGCTACTTAATTGTCTGGTTTAAAGAGAATAAACTTATATTTTATGTGGAAATTTTAGTTGCTTCGTGTGCATCATTTTGGGGCTCTCTACGGCTTAAGACAACGACTCTATTATTAAGAAATATACAATTTGGAGATTATAGAGTAGAGGCCAAATGGTTGGTGGTTAGAACTATTTTCGTTTTTTTGATAATGGCTTTTGTTTTGAAGTTTAGTGGTGGAGCTAATGCAATGATTTAGGACAACCTGTTGTTTTAATTTCAAAATTTTGAGATTTCTCATTTTGATTGGTAGTAGGTTTGCACAATCCCAATTTTATGGGAGATGAGTTGGGTTCGATTACACGTGAAAAAACACTTTCGAATGTGAACACAACCTCTTCATACAAATAGTATTGTATTGTGTGGGTTGGATTTGCATTCAAAATGCTTCCACAAAACTTTGATAGGTCGTTGCTTGAGGTTGTGTTCACATTCGAAAAAACACTTTCGAATGTGAACACAACCTCTTCATACAAATAGTATTGTATTGTGTGGGTTGGATTTACATTCAAAATGCTTCCACAAAACTTTGATAGGTCGTTGCTTGATGTAATGATAAAAGTTCAATTACGTGTGAAAAAGCAGATTCGAATGTGAACACAACACCTTCATACAAATAGTATTGTATTGTAGGTTGGATTTGTGTATTCGATATGCTTCTTCAAGCATATTTGGGTAGTAGTAATCAACATTGAAGTGAAGAGACTCAACAAACTTTTACATCTCCTAATATTTTATCAGAGTACTGAATATGAGTTTCATTTGGCCATTGGAATAACTAAAATAAAAAAACAAAATTACAGAGTGAAATTCAATGTAATACTCTGTAGCATTCAAGATAATAAATGCTTTAATCATTTGCCATGTACTTGTGATCAGCTCTAACCTTTTGGATTGGAGGAGTTTATACTTGTAATCACATGGGGAATGCCCCTTACAATATGTACAGATTGTATTTTTGAGTTTAATTCATTTCCTTAAACCAAAAAATAAATAAATAAAAACTATAACCCTAGTTCATTTACTTCTATTTAAAGCATGAAAAAATTCTCTACACCACATTTTCATTTTTACAGCTAGGCTTAAGAAAATCATTTGCACAACCTATAACGAATTATAGTTGGGGTAATATGCTTTAAAAAATGAAAAGGATGGCATTACAGGAGTAAACATTCCAAAATTTTGTTAGGTTTTGGAAACTCAATCTCACATTTGTTTTCATTAAATTTAGTGGTTTTAGCTCATTTCTTAAAGAGATTAAAGTTCCATTTAGTGGTTATTTTTTAGTATTAATCATCCTGCAAGATTTATTTACCTAATCTAATGTTGGTATAAATCCATTCTAGAATGCAATATGAAATATTATTATTATTTATTCATTTTTGGTAGATTAGGATAAGTTACTTGACAACAAAGGGAGTAAACAGTATGATAACCAACAAATAAAACCCAAAACCTCTCACAGTACAAGGAAATAGGCAAATAAGTATAAGCCAAGCACTGTAAAGAAGCTTTGCCACTAGTTGAGAAGAGAATTACCGTTGTTAGGAGGAGGGAATGAGGATCCGTTCCAACCAGGCGCCCTTTGGACTTGTGACAACAAGGTAAACCCTGAATATCTGCAATTAGCCACGAACCAAAGATATTGGGTAGTAACCCTGAGACCCTATCATCCAAGAACATTAGAATACATATTAACCTAAATGTACGGCATGAAAACTAATCTGGCCTTGCAGGGGAAACAAATGTATCAAGGCATCACACATTAAGCTTTTGAAAATTTGTATTAATTCCTAAGCATGGAAATGTCACACCCAACATTTCGAACCTCCCACTTTCCCAATCTCTCCCTGCATCAATTGTAACTTCGAATTTCAATTGGCTGTTTTTTCCTTGTTGCAGTAACATTTTCAGCAAAACTAACCAAATTAAATAGAAGTTTGGGTTTTTGTCACATTGCTGTTCTTCATTTGGGCCCAGGCTATCATTTGCACCAGCTGAGTGAGAACCACCATCATCATTTCGCTTGGTGGCTCTTGCATTAGAATAAACTTTCTTGTGAACCTTATTTGGATTAGGTTTCTGACAATGCTTTTGGCCCTGATAGGATGAGTATACTCTCTCAGCCCCGATGTTTCCAAACAAGAGTTCAGCAGCCTTGTTTCGGACGAGGAGTGGGATATATTTCGAGTCATCCCATACATATAACTGCAAATGAACACGCGCACACATCAGTGGTAGCAAATTTAAAGGCCAGAACATAAAAAGGCACCATATTGCATGAACCTTGTGAGGAATAGAAGTACAAAGATAATTTCCTATGCGAAGGATGATAATGGTACAAGTTAGGATCTGTACTATGAACTTACAAGATGTTTGGCCAATTTTTTACAAAATTGAAAACAACAGCATATCCAAATTTGTCCTTTACGTATCCAAGTAACAGATGAAATGATAATTTCAATGAGAATAATGAAGTGTTGCCACACAATGAACACAAGGGTGCTAAGAGACAAACAACTCTACTGATATTTCCAAATGGATCCATATTTTTTATTCAGTTAGTACATTTACTGTTATATTAAAGTAGATCAATATGGTTTAGCAATAAACACAGGGGGAAGAAAAAAGGTAAAAAGAGCAAATGACATCCATACTTGTTGCAAATGAGATCTTGTTATCTCTAACAATAACTTTGTTTTCTTTTTAGAATATATTTTTCTATTTGCAGGTGGTGTGCAAATGCAGGCAAATCAGAGAATGGAGTTCAATCTTGGTTTCAGGGTACGTATGTCACAACACATAACCATTGGTGTAACAAAAAGTAACCGTGCAAGCTCTAAGACATGAAATCACCATCAAAATTTCTTTACAGGGCTCTTACACCCTACAAGCTGTTTTGGATCTCACCAAATGTTGTATTACCCTGGTACTTAATATATGAAATTCTACATTTAAGATAGAAAAATGAAGTACAAAATACGGAAGAGTATAGCAGGCAAATAGAAGGGGAACGAAACTAAAGCATAGAAGCAAATCTTGAGGAAATCCTGATTAATCATGTGCACTTACAAGGCTGTAGAAAATTGTACAGAAGCTAATTTCCATTGACAACAGCTGATCCTATGTGGACTTCTAACATTTGTTTCTGTACAGAAACTGAAAACATAAAGTAAAGACACAACATTTGATGAAAAATTAGGTCAAATGACATTTTAACAGAAATAAAGAGCATTTAGTTGCTGCTTGGACCCATTTCAATTTATGCTCTTTTTTTTTCTTCTTGAAGTTGCATCATTTTTAAGATTTATATGAAGTTTACTCCACAATCAAATGGCCCAGAGTTATGTTAATGGTTAATGGCTAAGATCTTACACAGCAATCTTTTATTACTAATGAAATCTGGATAGCATCACACGATCATCTCCTTAAATATTCCTCAGGCTCATTGCAATACTGCATCATATGTTCTGTAACCTGTAAATTATGAAACTATTCTTCTTAATTGAACAATTTTTATCACTGTGAAACTGTTAGTATTGATATCACGTATCTATCCAACGATGTTCTGAATCTTCATGTTGAATAAACTTCAAGAGAATCAATAGTTTGGACAAAACTATGGTCAGGCAGGAGAGTATCCTCTTCTGCAAAGGTTGCATCTGTGATCCCTAGGGGAGATCTGTTTGATTCCACATGACAGCACCATTGCCATCTCTTATGACTCCATCATAATCCCAAATTCCCAGTGTACCCTTCCCTACTCCTTGAAACATCATCAAAGTGATTTGAATAGAAAATTGGCACTAGATTGAGATAGATACATATGAAATTGGCTTTTCGAAAAAAAAAAGAAGAAAGGGTAATGCAACAAGACCTCATCATTTTTCTCCTTGCTAACATCGCATGCTAGAAAGAAAATATTTTTATTGGTCTGGAATTTTTCAGTCACCTTGATGAAAGAGTGCCATTGTGATTCGTGAAGATAAACTTCAAATTTTGTTTTCGAGGATTTTCTCTTTTACCAGTTCGAATAGGAAAAGTTGCTCATCTGTGAACTGTAACTCTATCTATAACTTGGGATCAAGAGGGATCTCACCCCGCCTCAGGTTAGGAGATTGGGTTTCAAACAGAGTGAAGTAGAATAGGTTATGTGGGTTTAGATTTAATTTCCTTAAGTTCTAATGACTGCCAAGAACATAAAAACTCACTAGCATCCTTGACGAAAACTGCATTCAGGCAAATGCTTTAACAATGTACTCAAGTAACATTCAATATAATAAATATCCAATTTCCCGCAATATTTTTGGTCATCACTTCTAGGGAATAGGTGTTCAGCGTTCGTACTTGAAGAAGAAGAGATTCAGGTAAATGAAATTGTCCAAGAAGATATCCATACCATGAAGGGTCTATATATTGAGCTTGCAGCATGGAAGTGGTTAGAGCTTTTTGGACAATACAGTGAAAGAGAGCTTTGTTCAAACGTAGACCTGTAACAATGAAGGAATACATACCATTCAGTAACCATTATGATCAGTTTTGCTTGATTAAAAAGGAAACAGTTGCAAAGAACTGAATTTTCTCCATACCCTATCTTATTTAAAGGAGAGCCACATATCTTGCAGCCAGTACATATGAGATCTTCAGCTAAATCGTTATTTCCCATTATAGATAATCTCGTGCTGACGAACATCCTTTCATCCTCAGATTCAGAAAGATTTTTCCCGGTAAATGGCAGAAAAATTTCACCAACAGATGCATAAAAGGTTGCCTTACAGGAATCATTTAGAAGCGATACTTCTAGAAGTGAAAAACAATCTTTAGAATCTCCCTCTTCATGCACTTTCCAGTTTATTGACACCTGCCTCTTGTTCTAGTGAAAGTTATACACAGATAAAATCTTTTATACAAGTAAGATGATGGAACATACAATGGAAACCAGGACATGATTGAGGAACTGACTAATAATATGTGAGATTTAACACTAAGAACCAATGTAAACAAACATACTGGACTATCAGCAAAGGTAAGACTGCAGTATATAGAAGAACAACCTTACCATTGAGAATTGCCACATGTTAATGAAATTCTCAATAACATAATAAATTGTATGCATGTATGTATGTGGGAATGCACACTATATAAAATTTGTATGTATTTCTAGAGTTCTGTGAGAGGCATGCTAGGTATAAACCAAGCCTTTGGCATTATCTGCACAAAGTGACTGCCATCAAACCCAAACCAGAATTTTCATGCTTGTCAGACCGGGCTTCTACCATGGCACTAAGCAATAGACCCTTATAGGTGTATAGCAGCAAAACGAAATTACTGTATCCAGATTGTATGCGCGCAAAATAAGTGACTTGGGCACAATTCAAAGCAAAGACAATTTATCAGAATAATGTGTTTCCATGAACTTAGTCTGTTGAAACTTAAAGGATGAACTATTAATATTTTTTCTACCAAATGATTGTACATGTTCTCATGTAAATATATGGGAATTCAATAGAAATTATATGGTGAAGAGAATACTTGATAGCTGTGCAATTTGACATTGTAAAGGGTAGATCCAGCTCGCTGCACCCATTTGATAACTTTCTTAAGCTTTCCCATGGTGGTTATCCCAATTCGACAATCCCGAACTGCATCATCTGCATCTAAATGAATAAACATAAAATCTTATGCTCTATTAATTAAGTAGAGTCAAGTGAATACTTCACATGCTTTGTTCATCTCATTTTATGCAAATACTTAAATGGATACAAATATTTCCATGAAAGTTATGCCAACTATAAACTTGTCCAATGAAATAGATGCAATATTTGTTGAAATTTAAATAAAACAAAAATGGTATTAAAAATATCACATAATAAGATATAAGCTGCAAAGAGGGAGATAACAACACCTCTCACTATAATAGCTACAGTGGTTCCTAAGAAGAAGGGAGAACAGAGAATGAATACCCTTGGTAACGAGCATTTCAGAAGAACGGACTAAACATTGTAAAGATGAGTGTTGGACGGTTCTGGCCTCAACAATATCCCCAAATCGTGAAATTCTGACATCTACATCAAGTGAAACATATCAAAATTCCAATGGGAATGGATTACTAGTCACCAGTTGTGAATTTAGAAACCAAACATCAAAATTCGCCTATCTGTAAACAAAGGATTAATTAAGGGAACTAATAACAAAGAGATATATACCAACACAAAATGTACAATTACCATGAACAAGATAAAAAAAATAGATATCAAAGATTTGCTCCACCATAAAGCCATTAATTTGGTTGCCTAAGACGCTTTCTTGGAACTAATTCATAGGGGGCTTAGTCTTATAACTATATAAACATATATAACAAGCATGCGATATTTATAAATATTTCAACCAAACTCTTTGTTTGCGAAGGCCGAAGAAGAATAGCTTGCAGGTTAGACAGAATTCTGGTTAACCATGAGATTTTGACTCTCCTCTCCAAAGCTAGAGTTATTACTCGTACTAATGGACTCTCTGACCATGCCCCAGTATTATTCAGTTGAATCACTCAGTGCAGCACAGGACGCTGTTAGTCGATTCTTTGGATTCAGCCTTGTTAGTTGGTCAGATTGGTCTTGAAAACCTTCCCATTATACAAATATGTTCCTATTATAAGGCCATTAAGTCGATTTTTTTTTTTTCTATAAATTGATATGAGTGAACATATATATCATGTATAATCTAAACTGAAAGGAAAAATAAAGGAGAAGATGATGGAATTGCCACAATCAGTTGATAATGGTTAGCTACAATCAACAAGGAGATATAATTACAACCACAAGGAATCTAAAAGACAAAATTAGCAAGAAAATAATTAAAATTTTATACAATTATAAATTTAATGTCAAAAGGGGCTTATTTAGAGTTTTCCTCTTAAGCCCCGACTTGTGTCAGGAGGCTCTTGATAATAATTGAAAAGAAATTTGTGCCACGTTTGAACTGTCATTCGACTCATGCATCATGATTAGTTCTTTGGAACTTTAAATAAAACCACAATTAATAAAATTAAAACTATTTTGGCATGCATTTTAATACTGATAGGAAAGAGCATAAAAGAAACCCACTAGGACAAAAACTGATACACAATGATATCCAGTCATATAATCTTCTACTGGAGACTCAGCAATACGATTTCAATCTCAAAGTATCTTAAGCTTATGTTAATACACATTTTTTTTTTTTTTTGATAAGTAAAAAGCTTATGTTAATACACTTACAAATTAAAACTTAAAAGAGTGGGAGTGTGATCAATTCATAGTTCCCACTTCAACATTTCAATTCACATCATTTTAGACATCTACCATTCATCCTTATGGAGCCTTCTAGCAACACTTAAAACAATCATATCCTGCTACTGCACTTATTTAAGATCATCACTTGTTAGTCTTGACACTATTTCCCATACTTCTCTCTGTACTTCTAATATGGCATTTATCCATTGTTTAGATTCATCGATACAAAAAAGGGATAGCCTCGTGTAGCAAGCTCCCGCCATTGCAGGATCTGGAGAGGGTTAGATCTACGCAAGCTTACCCTTGCATACAAAGAAGCTGTTTCCTTATTTTGAGCCTTACCTCTGCACGCGGATAGGATGTTTCTTGTCTTGAACCCATGACCTTAATATTGGCAAATATTATACACTACAAAATCTCATCCTACATGTGATTTTGTCAAGTCAATTCATCCATAACAAAAGGATTCGAAGGTATATATATATAGTGGTGTTCAACAGCTCCCTTGTGAGTAGGGAGCTGTATACTCTCTTTAATTGCAGCCTTTGGATCTCATCCAATGGACAATATTAAAACTACTTTTTTTTTTTTTTTAAGTTAGTTTAGGAAACTTGCTTTTCTCTTTCCATTACCCTTAATTGTGCTTGACATTAAATGACAAAAAAGGACAACGGAATTAAATGAAAAAAAAAAAAAACATTAAGAACTGAATTCATGTACCCATAGAAGTGTCAAACAACAACATCAACTGAAATACACAATTTCGCTATCAATATCATTTAAAAAAATTAATTTTACTGCTTTCAGCATCTCCCTAAGGTTCCTACTACAACAGTCTGGTTTATTGTTGGTCTCTCGGAGCATTTAGCATCGATCTATGCTATTCTTTTTCATGATGAATTTTGTGGAAGGAAGCAGTTCATTGGATCATCGAAATGGCATTAAAAGACAGAAAAACAAGTTCTTAGAAATCAAAATTTGGACCTTTTTAACCTCCTGGCCAAGGATCATTCTAGAGATATCAAACAAAACAAACAGACAAAGGTTCCTGAATCGAAAGGGCTTCCCCAATGTAGTATGCCCGATTACAGTTACTAATGAATTTCTCTAAGCCACAAGGCTAGTATGAAGTTTAAGACAAAACTGACCAATTTGTAATGTAATAGTAGAAATCCAAATAGCTTTTCGACTTAAAAAAAAAAAAAAAAAAAAACTCTAATCATGGTTTGGGAACAGTGTTTGAATCAAAGAAAACAAATAATTTTATTATTTCAGTCAACGGATGAATGGTAGATGTCTAAAATGATGGGAACTATGAATTGATCACACTGCCAGTCTTTTAAGTTTTAATTCGTAAGTGTGTATTAACACAAGTTTAAGATACTTTGAGAATGAAAATTGTATTGCTGAGTCTCCGGTAGAAAATTATATCACTGGATATCATTTTTGTATCAGTTTGTCTTCGTGGCTTTCTTTTCTGCTCTTTCCTATCAGTATTAAAATGCACCCCATTAGAGTTTAATTTTATTAATTGTGGTTTGATTTATAGTTCTAAAGAACTAATCATGATACACGAGTCGCATGACAACTCATACCCGACACTAATTTCTTTTCAATTATTATCAAGAGCCTCCTGACACAAGTCATGGCTTTGATGAACAATGCCTTCACGCACGAAAATCAGTATCAAAAGCATCAGAGGCATATTCTTAGTCATTGTCAGAACGCAAGACTTTAATGGAACATCCGAACTGAGTTTCTATTTCTTTACGAAAAGTTTAAAAACAACCAATTCATATGAGAATGATCATCCACAAATGTCGCTTAAGATGAAAACTCAAAATAAACCCCTTTCAACATTAAATTTATAATTTTAATTTATGAAGATAAAAGTGGATCTTACTCTGTAGAAGAATGATATCTCCAGCAGATGCCATGGACCTCATTTGCTTTTGCCATATGGATACAGGGAAAAATGGACGTGTATCGTCACCCACCTGAATATCTGTCCTGATTACTTCTCTGCCATTTGGGACCTTATACTGCACAAAAAAGTAAGCTTTCAAAAAATTTATAATATTCTATAAGTTTAACAGCTCATTGTAGGACATGTGTGTGTAATTGTGTATGTATAGTGCGTGTGTGTATATAGAGAGAGACCTGAATAGGAGTAGATCTATGAACGAAAACGAGCAACTGAACATAATCGCCAATGTGAGAAGAAGCTTTGGACAGATCAATTAGGGGTCCGTACCATCCGATTGCGGCCATACTATGTAGAGAGAGATTGTCCTTTAATTTCTTTTTCTTCCTACCTTGTTCCTGTGGTGTTTTCCAGTTATCAGATTTTGGCGCGTAAATCTAGAGTTAGGGCTTGCAGGAAGCGTTTGGCTGCAAAGATAACTTGACCGCAACTTGGACAGATCCAAATCTAATACTTGGATTGGCTTGGATAGTACTCTTTTCTTTTTCTTTTCTTTTTTCCCCTGGGCTGGGTTGGTTTAAATTTTTTATAATTAAACTTATATTCTGATTGAGGGCATGAGATTTTAAAAGACAAAAGTTGAATACGAACCAAATTACACGGGAAAAAATAATAATAATGATACGAACCAAATTTACAAATGTTGTGTTTTGAAGTATTGAATTCGCACTTAAAATTAAATTTTTTTATTTAATTATCTAATTCTTCCAACTCAAACTCAAACTTAAGTGGCAGGTCTCATTTTTTTATTATTTATTTTTTTTATGAGTCTGGAGCATCATGCACCGGGCTCAATCAAGTTTCTCTCGAATTCCACACCCGTGGAGTGTAGAGTAGCGCTTGTAATGTCTGACCAACGGTCAAAATAGGCCCTTGTATATATTTTTGTTTTAAAAAAGAAAATAATGGTGTGTAAGACAAATAATAAAAAATGTAGGGCCAAAAACTAATAAAATAATAAGGTTGAGATTGAAAGAGAAAAGAGCTCACCAAGGGGAGGGACTTTCCAAAAACAATTGTGTAAAGTCACATCAGCACAATTGTTGACAGACACAAATCCAGTATAGGCCCAGTGGGACCAATTGTCCCCCCTGAAATGTTTTTCTTTTGCATTTTATAACTATTAATTTTGTTATTTATTTATTTATTTATATACTTATAAAATTTAAAATTTCCCCCCCCTGAAATTATAGAAAAACTTCACTAATGCCCCCACAATATATTTTTTTTAAAAGCCGCCCCAACTTACATACTTCTCGATCTGTCCCTAATTGTCCATGTCCCTTTACACTTTAAAAAAGGTGTTGAGTTAATTTGCTTCCTTGCACAGCGGATGCTCTCACCCACAAATTCTTATAAACATTCACTAGTGGCTTATCAACCAAATTTGTGGATCATGAGTTGGTTGTCACCCATATTTTGTGGGATTGAATATACTAATTTAAGGACATCAATGGAATCTCCAAGATATATCATATCTATTATTTATTTACTTGTGTACCATTGCAAGTTATTACTACATTTTAAAACATACATCAGAAGGAAATTGTTGGTATAAACATGCAGCTATGCCATGCTGATCCAACAGAGTCATATGAATGGAGTAATTAATTGTACAAAGTGACATATAGTAAGAAAGTGACTCTAAAATTTTGAACAGTATAAATTCATCAATTGTCGGCAGGTACGGATTCAGTATAGGCTCAGTGGGGCCAATTGCCCCACTGAAATCTTTTTCTTTTGCATTTTATACCTATTAATTTTGTTTTTATTTATTTATTTATATAATTTTAAATTTTAAATTTTGCCCACCTGAAATTATAGAAAAACTTCACTAACGCCCCCCACAACATTTTTTATTTATTTATTTATTTAAAGTCGTCCCACTTACATACTTCTTTGTCTCTCCCTGACTGTCGATGTCCCTCCACACTTTTAAAAATGTGTAGAATTAATTTGCTTCCTTGCACAGCGAATGCTCTCACCCACAAATTCTTTTAAACATTCACTAGTGGCTTATCAATCGAATTGTGGATCATGAGTTGGTTGTCACCCATATTTTGTGGGATTGAATATACTAATTTAAGGACATCAATGGAATCTCCAGGACATTTCATAACTATTATATATTCTCTTGTGTACCATTGCAAGTTATTACTACATTTTAAAACATGTAAGAAGGAAAAATATTGGCATATACATGCAACTATGCCATGCTGATCCAACAGAGTCATATGAATGGAGTAATTAATTGTACAAAGTGACATAAGCATAGTAATAAATTATGTGAGCGGGTCGGGTTATATGTGGGTTGATTAGCTCATTTAACACCTAACCTACTTATGACCTCTTTCTTGGACGGGTTGATAATGGGAGACTAACCCACTTATGACCACTTCAAAATCCGATCAAACCCATCCAATTATCACCCCTATAAAAAAGTGATTGGAAAATTTTGAACATTATAAATTCATCAATCATATTAACAAATTCGGATTGTTCTGTTGGTAAATGATCTCCACTCTGGTACAATGCACTAGATGATCAATGTACAAGAGAAGATCCTTATTTTAATGTTAACTTGTGTAAGTTTGGATTCTCTTTTAATGTTAACTTGTGAAAGTTTCGATTCTAAATTTAATAATGGGAGACGGAGTTATAGCAGCCCTAAATGATTTTTAGGTGGATTACTAAAAAAAATAATAATAAAATAAAATAAAAATTGAATTCTTAATTTACAATTTGAAATTGGTCATACATGTAAGATATAAGAAAGTGAGGCTCATTACTTTCTTATATTTAGTTAACATGAACCATCAGAACTTGTAAGTGAACAAATTCACTCTAAGTGATCGTCTAAGTATCATTAACTTTTGTTAGGGGCCAACGTAAACCAAAGAAGCAGGCGCGACAAGATAGCGCGCATGATAAGAACATGCAGAAGTTGGATTGGTCCAAAAAAGTTTGAAGCTAACAAGAAGAACATTCAACCTAGCTTATTCAAGATCCCACCAAGCAATAACACACATGCACAATACAAGATTTACATGGTTCAACCATCTTTATGACTGTATCTATGGATGCGGAGATATACTATAATAATGAGGAGACTTGCAATTTGTAAAGAATTATCAACCAAACCTAACTCTCTCCACCCATGAACTCACAACTCACTCTCTCGCGAGGCTTCGTGTACAAGTTACACATCTCTTACTCATACTTCTTAATAATACCCTTAATACTTTGTTTCATTGGAGGGATAAAAAATGAATAAAAGGAAAATGTGGAGGAATGAATGAGACATTCTTAAGGATAGGAATGTGTCTCTTTCACTTTTTGTTTGGTTGAATGGAATGAATAGGGAGAATGATGAATGGGGTGACATTTTTTATTTTGTTTAGTTGGAAAGAATGAAATGAGAGTTTTTATGTTTCTTTTACCAATGTACCCTCATTACGTAAAATTATAACATGGTAGGGTTTTATAACAAATTTTTGAGAAGGGTAAAAATGAGTTGACAGTTTGCATGTTTTTTCTCTCACCTTCCCCCCAATTTTGGATCGATAGAAAAACATAAAGGAAGGATGTATGCTTTCTCTTTTCCCTTCCTGGCCTTCAACCAAATATGAATTTTTTTTTTATCGCCCTTCTCAATCCTTCCCTCTAACCAAATATACATATAGTGTAACAGATTCGGGGAAATATTGATATATATCCACTGGTTTATAGAAGTGTGTAACGATATCGAACCTTTAAAAAAGAATAACGAACCGACCGATATGTCGCGTATCGACAAATATGACGAACCATGAATATACCATAAGTATCTATTCATCATCCCAAATCTAATTCTTTAGTGGCCAAGACTAGCCACAATTCCTAACAGCTTTGCCATGACATAATTGAGATTAACACATTGATGAATTTTAGTCATCAATTGACCTCAGAAATATTGAAAAGCTGCAAAACAGTTGTTGTACAATGCATATGATAAGGTAAAAGATTTGTTTTCCCATTGAACTTTGAAGGTGGTTGTATGGAATTGCCAATTAGTTGACCATCGCCCTATATATTACTCATGTAGATATACTATATAATAGCAGTCAGCTATTATATTATTTATTCATTAATTTAATATCATGAAAGTTGGAAGTCGGAAAAAATATATAACGCACATTGATAATCATATAACCATATAATATGGTCGGTAAGCAAATCAAGTTGATGCATGTGTGTTTTTCAAATATTGTAAAAGAGCTTCGTTGTCAAGATAGCCTACTATTGTTGATTTGAGAATCGCCATGATCTCACTCTTAATAGGACCAAGTCATGAATATTTGACCATCATGATGAGTCCATCTTATAGATCGACGTTGATAGTTTGACCATATAAATATTTGACTTTTTAACAGCACAATAAATGTGTGACTTGATATTAACTGTATTAATTGGCTGTCATTAAAATTATCAAAATTTATAAGTGTATTTTCTAAATTGATTTTTTGCTTTTAATTTTAATTTTAGAGTTGGGGTGGGGTTAGAGATTTTTATTTATTTTTCTTTGAGATTGTACTTTTTTATTTTTACATAAGACGTTTTTTTTACCCAAAACCTTTTTTTTTTCCCCCTTTTCCTTTTAATTTTAGAGTTGAGGTAAGGATTATTATTTTTAAAAATGATCCACTCGGAACTCCTGATTCCATTGCATAGCCTGACAAGTTTTAGTTTCTTGTCAAGGACAAAAAAAAAAAAAAAAAAAAACCCTCTTATTCTAAATTTATTAAATATTCATGATTTTGGGTAATTATAGGCATCCGACAATGGGGTGGAAACACCATCTATTATTCAAAAAAAAAAACATAAAACAATGTTTCATCCTTAACATGATTACTCGAATAATGTTTAATTAATCGTATTTTATTGAATTATGAAAGCTAATTTATTTATGACCCGATTAATTAATATGATTACCAGGTTAAGAAATCAAATCCCTGACTTGTTTCATCCTTTATAACAATTAATATATCAAAATGACTATGGTAATAGTGAAATCCTTGGTTGATTGTGTGTTAAAAAAAAAAATTTAATAAATAAAATAAATGAAAATTTCAGTCATTGCATAATTTTTAATTTAATATTATATTTTTTTTTCTGGGCTCGAAATCCCCTCTCTCTAAAAACAGACGAGGTCATATTCCAATAGGACCAATACTCTGTCGGGCTCATGAACTCATTATTGTTGGTTTGCCAACTAGTGCCATCAAAAGCTTGCCAACTATACGAGATGTGCTATAATTAAAAAATTAATTGTAGTAAAATTGACTTAAAGCATGGGAAGAAAGTGATGGATTTATATAATATGCAGACCAATCGTTTGATTTTTTACCTCACTGAAGTCAGTTTCTTAATTATGACTGTTAATTTGGAGTTGTGGGTTTCTGTGTTTCCTTCTTAAATCAAATGGGTATGCTGGTTTCTATTACATGAATATATATTTAAATGACAATAATGCATTTACAAAATTGTAGTTGTACATTATTGTTCATTCTTCTTCGCTTAGATAAGCATATCCTTAGGTCAGACCTGGCACTGAATTATATGTTATACATCTTCAGCTGATGTTAGCACCAAATGTAAACACGCCTCTACTTGAGGCTACCAATCAACGTCAAGTCGGTGTTGAGAGAGAAACAGTACTAGAGAGAGAGAGTTTCATGGTCAACCCCCAACCTATAAGCAGGATTAAAGAAAAGAAATGGAGAGTGCCAGAGCAGACCTGTTCCAACCTCACCAATACCCTTTCCATTTGGTTCATTTCTGTTCTTCTTCCCTTCATCTATACTCTTTATGGGGTCCTTGTTATTCTTTCTCTCCGTTGTCTTGTCTTGTTATCTTGTTTCTGGCCAGCCTTCATCAGAATTCGTATACCCAAACTTCACTGCTACGAATTTCCGATTCATTGACAGCGCTGGCAGTTTCTTATTCTCCCGTAATGGGTCATTCAAAGCTGCCATATCCAACCCCGGTGCGCAGCAAACAAACTTTTACTTGTGCATTATCCATGTGGCGTCGAACACCATCACCTGGTCTGCAAATCGTGATGCACCAATTTCGAATTCCGGAAAGATGAGTCTAACTTCAAGCGGCATTAATATCACTGATCAAGACGGTAATTTTAAATGGTCAACGCCACCATTACGGTCATCTGTATCAGCGCTGATCCTGACGGAGACTGGTAATCTTGTCTTGCTTGATCAATCTAATGGGAGTCTCTGGGAGAGCTTCCATTATCCAACTGATACGATCGTGATCTCGCAGCACTTGGTTGTTGGGACATCGCTGTCCAGTGCTTTGTCGAATGATGACTTATCAACTGGTAATTACAGCCTTGCAATCACTGCCTCTGATGCTATACTGCAATGGCAGGGATTGACATATTGGAAATTGTCTATGGATACCAAGGCTTATTCCAACTCAAATTATGCAGTGGAGTACATGGCAATAAACCAAACAGGTCTTTATCTGGTTGGTCGTGATGGATCAGTAGTTGTGATTCAAGTGAACCTGTCTCCATCTGATTTTCGGATTGCCAAGTTGGATCATATTGGCCAGTTTGTTGTTAGTAGCTTTTCTGGTAGTGACTGGACGCAGGATTATGTGGGGCCAGTTGATGAATGCCAGATTGGTAACATCTGCGGGAAGGTTGGATTGTGTGGTTACAGTGCTGGATCAGATGATCCATCTTGTACATGTCCACCAGAATTTAGTGCTAATTCACAGAATACAAGCGGCTGCTCGCCAAGTGAAGTTTCTTATACATTGCCGGTTGCTTGTAATTCATCCAGAAACAACAGTGACTCCAACTCTTCGCCGGTGTCATATTTGAAACTTGACTATGGTATGGCCTACTTTGCTAATGATTTTACTTCTCCTGTCAAGTATGGTATAAATTTGTCTGTCTGTCAAGAGCTCTGCTCAGGTGACTGCTCTTGCTTAGGAATTTTCTTTGAAAACTCATCTGGTTCTTGTTATGTGCTCGAAAATGTGTTGGGATCAATTAAGTCAAGCAGCACGACGGATAGTGTTCTGTTGGGCTTCATCAAAACTCTAGTTGGATCTTCACCAACAAATATTGGTGGTAGTGATTTCAATAGTAAAACAGTAGAATTTCCAACAATTGCTTTGGTGCTCTTACCTTTCACTGGTTTCATCCTGTTAGTGGCTCTGGGATTCTTCTTGTGGAGAAAATCTAGAGTATCCAGGGTTGGAGAGGTAAAATCTGGCCGTGGAACCTCTCCTTCTTCGGGGGACCTGGATGCCTTCTCCATCCCAGGATTACCTATAAGATTTGACTACGAAGAGCTTGAGACAGCAACTGATAATTTCAAGACTCATATTGGTTCGGGTGGGTTTGGTGCTGTATATAAGGGTATACTCCCTGACAAGACTCTGGTGGCAGTAAAGAAGATTACGAATGTGGGTGTTCAAGGGAAGAAGGATTTCTGCACAGAAATAGCAGTCATTGGAAATATTCACCATGTCAATTTGGTCAAGCTGAGAGGCTTTTGTGCTCAAGGGAGGCAAAGACTATTGGTGTACGAGTATATGAATCGTGGATCCTTGGACCGCACCCTCTTTGGCAGTGGACCAGTATTAGAATGGCAAGAAAGGATTGAAATAGCACTTGGGACGGCACGTGGGCTTGCATACTTGCACAGTGGGTGCGATCAAAAGATCATCCATTGTGATGTCAAGCCAGAAAACATTCTCCTCCAAGATCATTTCCAGGCAAAGATCTCTGATTTTGGGCTCTCAAAGCTTCTAACCCCTGAACAATCCAGTTTATTCACAACGATGAGAGGCACTCGTGGCTATCTTGCTCCTGAATGGCTTACCAGTTCTGCAATCTCAGAAAAAACTGATGTGTATAGTTTTGGAATGGTATTGCTTGAAATTGTAAGTGGAAGGAAGAACTGTTCATTACCGACACAAAGCCATAGCATTGGTGATGATAGCAGTGGTGGTGGCCATTCCTCTGCTTCATCAGGGCTTGGACTTATTTATTTCCCTCTATTTGCATTGGAGATGCATGAGCAAGGAAAGTACCTGGAACTGGCTGACCCAAGGCTGGGGGGGCGGGTGACTGGTGAAGAAGTGGAGAAGTTGGTTCGTATAGCTTTGTGTTGTGTTCATGAAGAGCCGGCAATGAGGCCGAACATGGTAACTGTTGTTGGCATGCTGGAAGGTGAGATCCCTTTGGGTCAACCAAGAATGGAAGCTTTGAATTTTTTGCGCTTTTATGGGCGTCGGTTCACTGAGGCTTCCATGATAGAAGAGAACCATGGGCAAGATAATGTCATATTGTATCCACAAGCAAATGCTTCTCTTGCGAACGGGAGGAGTAGCTGGCATACTTCTTTCTCTTATATTTCATCACAGGAGGTATCAGGCCCTAGGTAGTGTTCAGTGTCCGAGGTTCTGAAACTCGTGGAAATTCGATTTCCACTTGCATTTCACATCTTGACATGGAATGTAATAGGTTAGTGTGTTGTTTGTGTAAACCAATTATTCTGAGTTAATGAATATACCAAGTACAGCCTTCTAGTTTTTTTAACCATCTAAGTTCAATGTCATGGCTTGTTTAGGATTTGCATTTCATCAATGTATTCCCTGTCATTTTGATTATATTATATGATCTATATTCACAGGGGAGTTTCTGGAACCTATTTTTGCAGCGAGTTTGATCTCCCTGGTTAAAGTTTTCCAGTAAATAAACTCAGGAATTATCATGATTTAACCTCCTAATTCATCCCATAGCAGCTCTAATAGCTTGCTTGTTTGTTACTCGGTGTTTTTACAATGTATTCTTCTGTCAGGAATTATCATGATTTAACATGTTGTTAGCCATTATAATACCACTATGCAAACAATATGCAGAAAGTGTCATTTTTATTTGGATTTAGTTATAAATGAAACTAAAACAAAGTGGGTAGTTGCGAATGACATGATTAGTGGTTTTTTCAACTTATCGATTTGACTCCCACCTCTGGCTGTCTTCCTAGTTGTTCTCCTCGCTAATTTCAAGAACCTAAACGTAAATAGTGCGTAAGGTGAAAATCAACCTCCTGCCAACCTTACATTCCTTTTTCTGATTGCTATATCCTCGACCGTATCCAAGCTCCCGTGGCTATATGAGCAACAAATTCTTGGTCTCCTTAGCTGCCATGATACTCCAAGCCATAATGAATGCCTTGCCCCGTGTGGCCTCAAGGTTGCTTCTTTTCGCCTTTTTGCCACTCGCGTAACCAGTCTGACATAAGGAATATCCCTATGGAGAGGTTGAGTGTGTAGATTCCCCTGTACGAGCTGTTTCGCTCCTGTATCTTCCAAAAGGAAAAAAGATCCCTGAGAGTTGTTTCCTGGATTCGAAAGAGAATATGACAATTTTAGAGCCGTCCTATCAGTACTCGGATTCTTAGAGCATCTACACTTGGCTAGCCAAATGGCCGTGAGCAGCCCAAATGTGTCGCAGCGGGCTAACGGTAATTGGGCAAGCCCACATGGGCTCGCAATCTGAATACCGCGAGCCCAAGCCCAATCGGATTATTTTGAGCTCATTTATTTTTTTAAAAATAAAACAAAATTTATTAAATAAAAAAAATATTGTTTAGGTACTATTTGTCTAAAAAAAATTGATTTGGGTCAAAAATAAATTAAAAAATCTTTCTATTTTTTTTCCCCCTTAAAATTTGATATATTTTTTTAAAACTTTTTTTTGCTTTAAATTTTAAATTTCTACCACAAACAATGTATTTGGCCGTTAAGGCACTGTTTGTGTCGGCCAAACAGTACCTTGTTAGGCTATAATTTAAAATAAAAAAAAGTTTAAAAAATTCAATTTCTTAAAACTTAAAAAAAAAGTTTTAAAATTCATTTTCTTATTCCCATATAATTTTGTAATCCTTATTTTCTTTTTCCAATTAATGATATTGTATTGTTTAAGTTATTTTTAATTATTTTGTTATTTTGCCACAATGGAGAGAGATGAATGCAGTAATTATTTTCATATAAACAAATGAGTATTCATTATGTAAGATAAAAAATATAATTTAAATTAGTAAATGAGTCGTTATGAACAAATGAGCATTCGTTAGTCGTTATGAACAAATGAGCATTCATTAGTCATTAGAAAAAAGTTAAAAAATAATAATAATAATTTAAATTTTTATTTGTTTATTTATTTTAGAGCTAAAATTCGGAGAGTTTTATGAAGTGCATGTCTCAGCGAGAGTTGTGACGTGGCTCTTGAAAAAACTAAAGTGATATTTTTAGAGAGCTAAATCCGAATAGACTGATGCATATACTGCCTATATATATATATATATATATATGCATAGATGAGTAGGCAGTAGATGGCTACCAAAATAATAAGCAAATAAATTAATTTTACTGTTGTGGCCACAATTTATTGGTTTAAATTACTTGCAGTTATACATATATAGTCGTATGTTTATATATATATATATAACTGCAAATAATTTAAACCAATAAATTGTGGCCACAACAGTAAAATTTATTTATTTGCTTATTATTTTAGTAGCCACCTACTACCTACTCATCTATGCATGCAAGTTACAAATCAATATTTTGAGTTTGAAAAATGCTATTAAGAGGGCTACGAATCATTCATATTTAATCATGTTAAAAGATGTATCAAATAAATTTTTTAATTTTTCAAAAACTTCAAATAAATATCACAATTTAGTTATTAAATGCAGATAACACGTGACGGGAAAGTCTCTTGATAACAATTGCTCGTTTGAGTTTGTGTTCTTTGCTTCAAACTTGTTGAAATAATTATGATAATAAAAACAAAAATAAAAAATTTACTAGTGAGACGGCGTACTCGTGTGGAGACCTCCACACCGAATCCGAACCCGTTTGTTTTTTAGTATAAGACGACTTTCTCGAAGATGGTCGTTTATTATCTCCGAGCGCGAGAAGACCCTGGAAGGTCTCCCATGGCATACGTCGAGCGAGGTACCGTCTCTCTCTCTCTAGGAAGTAAATTTGATTGATCGTCTCTAAACAATTCGTATGATCTCGACATCGATCGGCCTTACGCTCTCATTCTTTCAAATTAGGCGATTATACCATTTGTGTTTATATGTATCTTAGGTTATGCTCTGATCTTCTTTTATTTATTTATTTATTTTTGTTTTGAAGATCTGTTGCGAACGTAATTTCTATTCATCGTGAAATGTAGTTGTTGAATTTTGTTATAATTGCAAATCTTTGTGAAGGGACGAGGGGGTTTGAGCTCCTGATATTGTTCTAATTATGATTTTGTTTATATATATATATATATATATATATATATTATGCTTTGATTGGATCTACTATTGATTATTTTATAAATGGTATGAAATAGCTCGCAATTATTCAGAATGGATGATGTTAAATTGTTTTGTTGGAACAGCTATTGCTTTATTTACTTCTATATTTATATGGATATCGTAATTATGGGTCTAAATCAATTACTATGTGATAAATTTCAATCATATGATGGAGTGCCAAAGAATATTTTACAAGAAATTCATCTTTTCAAAGCATTTATTTGATTTTATTTGTCACAATGAGTACACATTCAATTTGGGTTGGTTAAGCTTGTTTGGCTCTGACTCTAATATAGTTAGTTTGGAATTGGATGAGGCTATCCACACATTGCTGATCCTATTTGGAAGAGCATTAGGGCAATAATTTCTCAGACAATAGCTTATTATTGTTTGTTGGGTTAACTATTGAAATGGGTTTTGATTTAGCTATCTTCTGAGTTACATGAGTTGAAGCCTTGTAGAGATTTTCTGGTATGGCCAAGGACCATCTTTTTGGTATTAATATAGAAGTGATGTGATTAAGAAATTGGATTAGAAGCATTACTTCATTGTAAATATTGTGGTCTCTTTTTCTCTCATTTCCCTTTCTAATATGTCAGATTGTTGATGTGCTTGTACTCTTTTTTAGTCAAGTATATTCTTAAGGAGAACTTACATGGAGACACTTCATGGTGCGTATTTGTTAGCAATATATTGTTATTGGATGCTTTTAATGAAAATTGAACAGTAAATTAGAAATGTGGAGAAAGGCATTGGAGTCAAAAGGCTTGAAAATTAGTAAATTAAAACAGAATATGGAATGTAAAGTTAATGAAGTGTCAAAAATAGGTGATACAATTGCAACACTTTAAAACCAAAGAATTATTGAAAATAATCTTTTTTAATATTTAGGACCTATTATACAAAATGATGGAGAGATAGATTTTGACATAATTAGCAGAATTGGGCCGGTTTAGACTAAATGGATACGTGGTAGTGGTTTTTTATGCAATAAAATAATATTAAAGGGAAATTCTTTGGGGTAGTTGTTAGGCCAACTCTCTTATATTGAGCAGAGTGTTGGGCTTTAAATAAGAAATGAAAACAATGCATTCATGTAGCTAAAATGAGAATGTCAAGATGAATGGTAGGTTTACTAATAAAAGAGAGAGATAGAAATTAGGAGTGACACTAATTAACTGTACAATATGAGTGACTGAGGTCAGTGACGGAGCCAGAATTTCAAGTGAGGTGGGGCACACTGCCAAAAAAAAATAATAATAATACGGAGTACATATATATATATAACAACTATAAGACAAAGAAGAAGAAAATTATTAAAATATAAAAGGAAAATAAAAATGAAAAAACTTTAATAGGAAATAGTTAAAAATTTTCAATTGAGGAAGAAAAATTTGACTTTTTCTATTAAGGAAATTTAAGGAATGTGAAGAGTAAAAGAGAAAATAAAGAAAAAATAAGAATATAATTTTAGGAATTACAAATTTGAGGGGGGCACTATATAAATTTTGTCATATATATGGAATTTTTTAAAAAATTACCACATAAATTATAGGTTGCGAGCCAATTCAGGGGGGGCACGTGCCCCCTCTAGGCCTTCATTGGCTCCGTCCCTGACTTAGGTGGTACAAATATGTACAACGAAGACCTATAGATGCACCATTAAGAATAGGAAGATCGGTTTGCATAGAATGTAAGAAGAATAAGGTTGATCAAAACTAATATGGGATGAAGTTATTAGAAATTATTATAAAGAGTTAAATACAATAGGAGAAATGACTTGTAATAAATAAAAAATAAAAAATAAATAAAAGAATGGAAAAAGAGTATTCATGTGGCCAACCCCATTAATATGGAATTAAGGCAAGATTGATGATGACGAAGTATACTCACACGTTCCCACTAGGGCTTGAATCTTCAGCCCCTCCTTTTGAGGAGGTAGAATTTACCACTCAAGCCAAGGCTTGGTGATGTGCTTGTTCTTTTCTTGAAGTATGTAATAAAAATCCAAGTATGCATTTGCATTTTTTTTTTTTTTTTGGATAAGTAAGTATGCATTTGCATTTGACAGTGAGTCCAACTCTTAGAAGACATTATGCTACCTGGATTTCAGAATTAGATAATACATCCATTTTACCTGAGTCGTATGTTTTTCCCACTGCATCCTATTTTGGCGAGCTAGGGTAATATTTTTATTTGGACTAGTCATATTTTATTCTCATTCCAAGTCCAACCTAACAAGGATGATAAGGAGGGAGATATGTATTCTTCCTGGATAGCTTAGCCAAGATATAAAATAATAAAAAGGTAAAAGAGTTTCAAGGTAGAAAAATATTATATTATTTATGTATGTGTTCACTTTTATATCACGTTTCTTGTACATTATGGATGACCAAACCTAGTTACACCTGCTTTTCAGTATTCTGGCCTTGTCATACAAGTGGTGCCTCAGAACTCTTCTTTTCTTTTATATTTTATTTTTATAAACAGTGTCTATATTTTGCAAGACCTATATCGACTATTTCCAAGGGTTTGTTCTTGCCTTCCATACATGTGGTGTAGCCCAATTAGTTGCAACATAAGGAGGCACACTAGAAAGCAAGCTTGATAAGCATTTCAAATGACAGACAAACATTGTGTCACATCGACCATATGTTGCATTATATTTTATGACAAATTTAATTAATTTATGGTTGTGAGTGAGGAAAAGAAGTAATTCTGTCCAATATGTTTCCTTCAATATATTTGTTATCTCTGATATCATATGCCATTCACTGAAATTTATTCACCCATTGTAATTCCTCTTGTTAACCGTTTTTATTTCTATTATTTTTTCTTTAGGTGTTGTGAAATCAAAGCGATCAATATGGCGGTTGAGAACAATCACTGATTTCTTCTGGGCCATCGTAAACTTCATTGGCGTGTTTTTCGCTACAATGTTTTCGGTAGTTTTCAGATTTTCATATTACTATAAATTTAGACCTGTTGTTCCTTTTGCAAATACTTACATTTTCAATGTATTTAATGCTTTCAGATGGAAAAATCCGATGCTTATAGAAAAGGTTCAGGTCATGACAAGAAATACGATGGTGGCGGACCTGGAGGTCCTGGAAGTGGTCCAGGTGGTGGTCCACGTGGACCACCCCGTGGATTAGACAATGTTCGAGGAATTGATCATAGTAAGTTCTGGTTTTCTTTATTGGTTTAAGTTTATAATATATATATTTTTTTACCCCCAGCTAAGTTCTGTTTTTAAAATAAAATTTCTTGTACCGAACTCCCAGGTTCTCTTCCTGCCTGTGGTTCCTGCTGCGGAGGTTAAATTGCTGGAGGTATATCTGTCATGTATGACACAAATGTCTTGAATTCTCACTTTGGAAACAATGTATGAATTGATTTTGAAATATTTAGTGTCCTATTAATGTCAGTCTTAAAGATGGCTGTCTAGCGCAAACATAAAAAAAAAACTGTAATATCTGAAATGATATTTAAGGCCCTCATATATATTCTAGTGTTTCTAGTGTTCTACTTTTTCCTTCATACTGGTTAACTTCTCTCTCTATGTAATGGCATTAGTGTTAAGATTAAGAATGAAGGTACGTTGTTCTCTAGATTTCCAATGTTTGCTTTTTAATTACAAATTAGCTGTTTTCTTGGTCTCATATATCCAGCCCCGTATGATGTTAGGAAAACTGCAATCTCATGATGTCTGCGATGTCTGGATTCCAGATTTCATTAGCATATTATATATATTAGTGTTAATATATTTTCCTACCTTTTCTTATTGACTATTGCCAATTTTTACCACCAGTGATGTCACAGCCAACATTCCTATGGCCTCCATCACCACTATTGCAAGACACTTGCCTCCACCCTTAATTAACATATTCAGCTGAATGTGTCCTTGCCCTAGGTTAATTTGTTAAAAGAACAAGCTTTGAGTTTTGAGTCATGTTGTTTGTGAAAATGAACTTAGACTTGCCTAGTAAAGATCCATTCCCATGCTATTCAAGAGTGATAATTTTCATTTCATGGGCGTTAAAAGGAGGGAAAATTTACTAAGGTGCTTCTGAAAGCTTACTTTATTGGTCTTATGCATACAACTTACATACATGAGTAGATACAAACATACAATTATGTCATGCTAATGGATATGTAGACACGAACACACACGCATACATCTACTGCGTAGTGTGTATATATGTGTGTGTATATATATATATATATATATATACGCACACACATCTGTATTGATTGTTGGGACAATGGCTTTGTCAATTATTTACTGTATATTATTGTCTTCTATCTTTCTTGTTCTTTTGACTGTGAATGATTGCAATATCATCATTATGTTTTTGCATGGAAGTCTGCTAAACATGTCCGGTAATTATGAATTTATGCTGTGTTAAATATAAGCATTTTAAAGTGAGATCTGATTCGCAAAGATCAAAAGCATTTTTCCAAGTGTAAGAGATTTTGCAGCCTTCAATATGAAAAAGGAACCGAGCCTTACATGTTTGAGGAAACTTCTGTTGAACTGGATATACAGTGTGAAATCATTGTGACAGGTTGGAGATATATTAGGAGATTATTTTATGGGTGATTTCCAAAATAATATTCTCTGGGACTTCAAATCAGTATATAATATATGGAACAGGACCGAGTCAGAGGTTTGACAAAATCATAGGCACCTTCTCGAGTTACCTCATGATGTGAACAAATGAAACCATTGTATAAGACACTCAGATATAAATGTTCTGATGAACTAAAGATGTATTGGTGAAGTGGAGAATTTGTTGCCAAGCTTATCAACCATTGTGAAGCAACATACTCTATTCAATTGGAATTGAGGAGTGTTGGCTGCAGTTGCCCGACAACCGAATGTCGCTAGATACTCCCGTGATTGGTACTAATCACGGAAGGCGAGTGTCAAGAATACCAAAGACCACTTGATACTCTCGTGATTGGTTCTAATCACTGAAGGCAATCGTAACTCGATACTCTCGTAATTGGTACTAATCATTGAAGGTGAGTGTCGAGCAACACTAAAGGCCACTCAATACTTTCGTGATTGAAGGCCCGTGATTGGGACTAATCACTGAAGTCGAGTGTTGAGCAGGACTGAAGGCTACCCGATACTTTCGTAATTGGTACTAATCACTGAAGGCCCGTGATTGATATTAATTACCAAAAGCGAGTGTCGAGCGATGGCGTTGCTAGCACTCCTCTGTTGGATCAGATATGGACACATTTATCATCACTCTAGGTCATACTCTTTTGGATTATAATCAGTTCTATTTCAGTTTTGCCTTGTTCTTGTAATAATTGAAATTCCTACATTGGATGAGTATCTAGTTAAGTCTGTAAAGGGCTATTCTAGGTAAATGACCCCAGACACTCGCAGCATAGCAATTTTCATTAATTTCCAATTACAAAACTTATAATAATAGATAATGCCGCCAAACACTAACAAGATGAAAGGACAATTTTGCCCTAAGCATAAAAAACAACTGTAATCAAGGCAGTCATAAGTTACAATGGTTATCTATGGCTATATGATGCCATTAATGACTTGGGATTACATCATTATTCATTGAACAACCTGTTTGGCTGCAAAAATTAATACATTTTTCATAATTGAACTAGCCCCTGTTTGGGCATCCATCAATTCAGAAACCTTTGATCCACTGGGCCATTCAATCCAACTCATGGACCCTAGGCCCATCCTCAGCAAAAGTAGCCTTCTCTCTCCATCCAAACAAGCTAAGATTTTCCAATGATCGGATGGGAACTTGAGAAAAAAATGATTGTTGCCTAACAAATGCACCAAGTCAAAGTTAGGGCATTTTCAGTACCTTTTGGGTATTCTGGAAGTTTAGGGGGTCCCCCCATTGTTACCTACAAAAGAATGGTCTATTGTGTTGCGCTCATGGTTGCACATGCAAAGGGCCATTTTGACAGCTAACCATTAGGCCATCATCATCTACACCAAAACCTGTTTACATTGAATGATTTATAACCGTCCGATCCATAGATAATTTCCCATCACCTGTCCTTGAATATGCTCATCACTGTAGTGTAACTATCTAAGAGTCCAAGCGCAAGCAATATCAACAGAAAGATATTCATGGATAGTGTTTTCAGGTCCACATTCATCTTAAATTCGAAGGAACTTCATAGATGTGTTGAAAAGATTTTTCGATATTTAATATACTTAACATAGGGACTCGAATCTTATTTATGTTAAAATATAGAATAATAATTTAAAATTTGAAAGTCAGACAATTTTAACTAATTTACGTGAATAAAGATTAATGATGTCATTAATATCTCTAATAATGACATCAATCTTTACTCGCATAAAATTACTCAGATTTGTCCGACTTCAAACACTCCATCATTATTCATAAGATATATGATTTGGATTCCCATTTGAATTGGACTTTGGTCCACAATCAACCCCATAACATGATTAGAAAAATATCAATTGGGATACCAAAACAATGACCCAAATAAAGAAGAGATTAGTTTATCATAAAAAGGCCACAAAAAAGGGCAAAGGTTGAGATCTCTTTGTAAATCCAGTTGGCACACGTGTGGCATTAATCATGTTAAGCACCAAGCCCACCTCTAAGCAATCATTCACTCCATCTTTGGCTCTCCTATTCACACACACACACACACACACAAAAAAGGCCTAACTTTTTTTTTTTTTTTCTTTCCCTCATCTATAACTAATAAAAATGTCTCTGTTTTCTATCTTATAATCTAGATTCTTGATCAATCAGTATACATGGGCTCTTTGTTACAGAAAAGTAGTCGTGGTGGGCCACCCCACTCGTGTGATCATGCGTGCTCAGGCCCATACCCCTTCCAGGCCCACAAAAAAGAGTTGGTAAAGGAGGAATACTTTGTCACCTTTGGAGGGACTTTTGGCACCTCCTCATCTCACAAAATTGGAAGGGTAGATTGAAGTTGTGACTAACTTTTAAAATCTAAGGTGTTTACTCGAAATCAAATTTGCCTTCATTTAGATTAAGGTTATGTTCGGTGACATGAAATTGGAGTTTTAAAATTAAAATGATGGAATTGAAGAAATTTTTAGTTCAATTTTGTGTGTTGAATTTTCTCTAATTCCACCAATTTCAATTCGAAAGCTCGAATCCTATGCAGCCGAACACAACCTACATATATTTACTACTGATAAGAAGAGAGTTAACTTCAACTAAAAATTGCATTACCAATCTTACATGGAGAGAAAGATAAAAAGAAAATGAATTATGTCATGATTTTATACAAAGTGATTATTTTTTGGTTAAAGTTTTTTTAACCGTTGCACCCTAAAATAACTCCTAATTAACTAATATACAACAACATATGATGTTATAATACAAATAAAACTTTTGACATTGTTTTGCAGTACTTCATCATTTCATTTCGGATGTTTAATGATAAAGCTGAAGCTTGATAAGAATTGGAAATGCACGACTTTGAATTCAAAAGTTTAGAAAAACGAACTCCAATATGCTATTAATGGATAATGAAACTGTTAATGTTATAACTACTTACTAAATAGGGCAGTAGAACACTACCCAATATGGCACCATCGTCAAAAATAAAATAAAAAATAAGGATTAGAACTTATCTCAATTTGAACGGATCTCCGACAAGAATCTAAATAAATTAGACAGCTATCCTATCAGACTGATAAACATAAAAATGGGCTTAAATTCATGGAATTTAGTTGAAGAGTATTATTGATTATTGGATTGTTTATTTGAGAATACGCCTTTTTGGATCAAACTATGGTAGTAATTGCACCAAAAACCGTGTCAGCCCCACTTATTAGAATTCTACTTATCCAAGTAAGTGGTTCTAATAGCTTCAATAATTAATTCTACATTATGAATAATAACCACTATTATATATTATTATATATTTTGGTTCTATTGTGGGCGGTGAGGGATTCGAACCCTTGGCACCGCGGTTGGTAGCCGCGTGCTCTAATCCTTTGATCTACAAGCCCACCCTGTTTTTACTGAATCTGTTTTTGAGAATACCCTTATAAAGTTAAAGGGTAATTTGTACCCACCCCCCTCAGGTTTACGATAAAGACAAGTGGATGCAACTTAAAAAGAGTATGATCCAATCGCCCTTAGGTTTGTAAACTTGAACAATTACAACAGTCCCAACCATGATAAGTGTACATAATTACTCTTTAACTTCTGAATTGACCCATTTATATAATTAAATTATAATATTAACATATAAAGTAAAGTGCAAAAAAAAAAAAAAAAAAAAAAATGCCCCTGAACTATGTTTAAATTTGCAAATAAACTCCCTGAACTATATTTTGTGCATAATACCCCCTGAACTATCACATTTTGTTGCAAAATGCCCCAATACCTAAACTATATTTCATTAAATGATCACAATGCCATTTCTTATTGAATTACATTTAATCTATTTTTTTTATTGAAATAAATTATGAAAAAAATTGATACTAATTTGATAACATATTCTGTATTAAATTTACCTTTAATTTTATAAATTAATTGTTTAAATAAATATTTTAAGTAGAAAATTTTAAAATAATTTAATAAATTTCTTAATTTTTCATGAATATATTATATGAAAAAGAAGGTATTTTTTATTTAAGTAATTTGTTGATTTTTCATCAATATATGTTTATGAAAAAGAAGATATTTTCTACGGTAAAAATTTTTAAACTATGTATAATAAGTTTTATTATAAATAATAAAATTTTAACAATAAGTTAATCATTTTAAAAAATGGTATGTACAAATCCTTTTATTTTTTCATTTTTATGATAAATTGATATTAAAAATAAAATTAAGGTAAATAGTATAATTAATATTTAGATAAGAGAAAAATAATAAAAATAATTTAATAAAAAATTTACTGAGAAAGGGTAAAATAGTCTTTTGCGATGAATTTATCTTTAATTGTAACAAAATAATAGTTCAAGGAGGCGTTTTTAGTTCAGGGAGTTATTTGCAAAAGAACAATAGTCTAAAGGGGTTTTTTTGCACTTTACCCTAACATTTATAAGTCTTTTAATTGACTAAAATGACCCTCAACGAAAAATAAATAAAAGAAAAGTGAAACTTCACCACCACTACCACCACCGTCCACAAGCACCCCCAAATTAGGACTATCTCCATCACGTTGGTGTCTCTCCATCATGTTGTCAGAAAAATCTAGCCTAGGATCGTGAAATCTGTTCTTCTTCTTGTCGAAGCTTTAACAATATTTCGTAGTCATCGAGAATTTCTCTAGCCGTCAATGTTGTTTGCATGGTCTGATGATAGCCTTCGTTGGAGCTTCTACTAAACGTCGCCATTGTCGGGAAATCACAATTCAATCACAAGCTTTGGTTTAGTGGTTTGGTGGTGCTAGCATTAGTGTAGTGGTGGTGGTGGTGAAGTCTATATGTATATTTACTGTGTGTGTGTGTTAGGTTGGGAGTATTGTTGTTCAAATTTGTAAATTTGGAGATAATTGAATCACATTCTCCCTAAGTTGTACTATCTAACTGTGTTTATTGCACACGTGAATACGTGAATGCAAATTACTCAAAATTAAAATTAAGTAAAATTTTTTCTTCTCTCAAACTATTTCAAGAAAATGTGAAAGTATTTTTCTTTCTATAAGTACGGAAGAGATGTCATAATTGGTTCACCTTGAGATTGCCTCGGAGTAAACTAAATTGGTATTGACCAATAATTGGTATTAATTATTTTCTACTATCAAGGGAAATACAAATAGTTAGCATTCATTGGTCGGGGTATTATACCTTGGGTACCTTTGGAGCACACAATAATTTTCCCAAAAGGGCTCACCTAGCTAGGTCCTCCATTGGTGACTCAATCATTGCTCAAAACAATTTAAAAGGAAGAGAAGAGAAGCAACATGGATAGGCAGAACCAAAAAACACACACAACACTTAGCTCTATCCATTCATAAACTCATCTTCTTCTACATGCCCCACCATAGCTAGCTTCCTCACTACCACCACCATCCACAACTATGGCTTCCGAGAAAGTCGAGACCATTGTTGCCGGAAACTATGTCGAAATGGAAAGAGAAGAAGGCGATTCCAAGTCCACAAAGAGCAAACTATCAACTCTTTTTTGGCATGGTGGCTCGGTCTATGATGCATGGTTTAGCTGTGCTTCAAACCAGGCACTGAATTGCTCATCACATTAACATAATTTCATATAATTGTTATTACTCGTGTTTTTTCATAATTTCATATAATTGGAAAATAATGGGTTTTATGTGTATATATATATATATGAATTTTTTCTTATTTTCTATGACATGTTGTAGGTGGCACAAGTGCTACTCACACTGCCTTACTCATTCTCACAACTTGGGATGTTATCTGGGATTCTTTTTCAACTCTTCTATGGTTTGATGGGAAGTTGGACTGCTTACCTTATTAGTGTACTTTATGTGGAGTACAGAACTAGAAAGGAGAGAGAGAAAGTTGATTTTAGAAACCATGTAATTCAGGTATATATATATATATACTTTCATTGTTCATTAATTGATTTAGTACTTTAAATTTCCAAAGATCTGATAATTAATTGAAACGTTTTATTTTGCTTCAATTTGTTTGGCCTCCCCTATCAACATTTTGGCCTTGAAGTAATTCATTTCTCTAAATCTTCAATTTACTGAAAATTGGATTTGTTGGGTAAAAGAGAAAGATAATTCTAGCTAGTTTAGATGTGAGCTAGAGAAGTTAGACAAGTGAGCAAGAGGAGTATAAAGATTTTTTCTTATAATTATTATTATTATTTTTGGGTAAATGAAAATTGAATACAAATATATATATATATAAAAGAGACCATATATCATACTAGGTTTTCTTGCCAAGGAATATATGATTGTCCACCATCTTCTTGACAACCAAACATGTATTAGGAAATTATTGGTTCTTGTTTTTTTCTCTCTCTCTCTGTATATTCATATATATCCATATATATTTATATATACTTGGTTGTTTGTAGTGGTTTGAAGTCCTTGATGGGCTACTGGGAAAACACTGGAGAAACATTGGCCTCTTCTTCAACTGCACATTTCTTCTATTTGGATCTGTAATTCAGCTAATTGCTTGTGCAAGGTAATTAATTTATCACATATACTAATCTTTTCTACTAGCTAGTTCGATAAATTTGTTAAATTACTGCTAATTTCCATTGATTCTGCAGTAACATCTACTATATAAATGACAATCTTGACAAGAGAACTTGGACATACATCTTCGGAGCATGTTGCGCCACAACTGTCTTCATCCCATCATTCCATAACTACAGAATTTGGTCATTTTTAGGCCTCATAATGACATCTTATACTGCATGGTACCTAACCATTGCTTCCCTCATCCATGGACAGGTAAAGAATTTTCTATCTAATTTCACAAAATAATAATATTACAGCACTAAAGTGTAGTTTTGGCTTGATTTCCTTTATAAATATTATAATTAATTGGATGATTTTGGCATCTCAAGGTTGAGGGAGTGAAGCACTCAGGTCCAACCAAAATGGTCCTCTACTTTACTGGGGCTACAAACATTCTTTACACCTTTGGTGGACATGCTGTGACAGTGTAAGCATATTATTTTTACTGAGCAATTTGATATCTAGACACACACACACACACACACACACACACACACACATATATATAAATATATACAGTGTGGACACTTTTTTGCATGTCTGAGTGCAGACATGTTACATGGATGCATTATTAATGGAAACCCCCTTTTTAGGAATGGGAACATGTTTCCTCGAAAACTGATGGCCAACTTTTTGAAAGGAAAGGAAGATAAAAGAAACTGTGTTTGTTTTTGTCCTTCACAATGCAGTACTCCAATAATCTTGCATCATTTTGCTCTATCTGGTTGTACATAACTACATATAGGATCAAAATAATTATTCAATTAAAAAAAAAAAAAGTACAATAGTGCAAAGTACAACCATAGAAAAATCCAAGAAAAAAAAAAAAAAAAAAAAAAAAAAAAAAAAAAAAAAACCGTCTCTGAAATGGTTGCTTGAAAAAGATAAGGAAGATCAAGAAAACAATTTGATATAGATACAGCTCCATCTATATTTATTTGATTATTCATTTGTGACTTAAATAATTTATGAAGTTTTGTTATGTGGGGATTTGTATTATAGGGAGATAATGCATGCAATGTGGAAGCCACAGAAGTTCAAGCTAATATACTTGACAGCCACTCTCTATGTGCTAACCCTAACCCTACCATCCGCTAGCGCGGTTTATTGGGCCTTTGGGGATATGCTGCTGAACCATTCCAATGCCCTATCTTTGCTCCCCAAGACTGGATTCAGAGACACTGCTGTTGTTCTGATGCTCATTCATCAGGTCACATTTCCGTTTACAATGGCTCATACAAATTATATTCAACTATGTGACAATTTTTTTAATGAAACTTAAGAATTTTTAGAGCTTAATTAAATTAGTTGGTAACATTTTGGTGTTCTGTGCAGTTCATAACATTTGGATTTGCATGCACTCCTCTGTACTTTGTGTGGGAGAAATTCATTGGAGTGCACGAAACAAAGAGCTTGTGCAAGCGCGCTGTGGCAAGGCTTCCAGTGGTGATTCCAATCTGGTTCCTCGCGATTATCTTCCCTTTCTTCGGCCCAATCAACTCCACTGTGGGATCTCTTCTTGTCAGCTTCACTGTCTACATAATTCCCGCGTTAGCGCATATGGTTACTTTTGCTTCTGCATCAGCTCGAGAGGTTAAACATCTAAAATTCTTCATTATGGCTCAAATTATAGGCTGTTTGGTGATTGTCTCATAGCTTAAGAATAAGTCCTTTAAGAACTTGAAACAATGATTACAAGTTTTAGAAAGTTTTAGGAGAAACAGAGAAATGAATGACAATGATTTAATCGAACATATAGCACTAGATGGGAAAGTATATACATATATGATAACATATGGCAGTTGAGGCTTTGTTAAGTTACTTTTACTGGCTTTTTTGATCCAGTGATCATTTTGGAAGCAATTAGTGCACTAAGTTTACCTGAAACAACTTTTAAGTGTCCAAATTACCTTTACTAAACTATCTAATAAACTTTTGATTTTCTGATCAATGCCTAAGATATATTCAAGATCATGAGGTTTTATCAAGCAACTAGTGCACTAATTTTTTTTTTTTTTTTTTTTCAGATTACATACAATGCCACACATGCACTATAAGCCTTATTACTTATTATTCTTTAAACAACTTGATGCTGATTTGTGATTTCATATGTTTTTCTTCACAGAATGCAATAGATAGACCACCATCATTCTTGGGAGGTTGGGCTGGGATGTACTCCATGAACATATTTGTGGTAGTATGGGTTTTGATTGTAGGATTCGCGTTCGGAGGATGGGCAAGCATGCTCAACTTCATCAACCAGATTGATACATTTGGCATCTTCACCAAGTGCTATCAGTGCCCTCCTCACAAAGCTTGAAAGATTCCCTATTATTACAAACAAGAAATTAAGATATTGAGATACATATGGAAGTGTACTTGTAAACAGATTGGCTTTTTTCAGTCTTTTCTTTTTTCTTCTTCTTCTTTTTTTTTTTTTCTTTTTTTTTTTTGTGCAAGAGCTCTTGAAATTAAAGCTGTGTGAATCAATTTTCAAGAAATGAAACTCCCTTTGTTTTTGTGGGATTTTAATTTATATGATTTGAGCAATATCATTTCTATATATAACAAGAATCAAGAGCTTTATTATTAGCATCTTTCTTGTCTATACTAACCAGACTATATATCTTGTTCCATCAGCAGCAGTGTCCATTAACAATCATGGATTATGGTCCACATTACATACATATATTCAGACATCCAAAGTAATTTGGCTCTTATTTTTTGATTTTATATATATATATATATATATATATATATATATCTTAATTGATTGCACCATCCAAAACCATGATTGTGACAACTTATCTAGTCATGATTAGGGGAGTTGGAGAACTTAGATTAATGGTCCAAAAGCACAAAGCCAGGAGCTCGATGGTCCATGGACCCTATGGTCTTATTGGGGCAACTTTGAGCAACTTTTTTCATGTTAAGTTCTTATCATTTAGCACCAAAATTATCCCCAGCACACCATGTGTTCTCTCTCTCTCTCTCTATATGTGTGTGTGTGTGTGTGTATCTTTTGTGTGTGTGTTTGTTGGGTGGTGGGAAGTGGGGTTGATTCAATACTCTAGACATGTGAAAGGAGCTGCTTTTTTTGAAATTTGAGAATCTAGATTAGAGGTGCTACCAAACAATTGTAAGCTGTTAGCTTCAGTTGCCTAATTTGTTTTGAAATACTTGTATACTTATCACATTATTGAATGTTTGCCTAACCTGATTTGTTCAGTTCATACATGTCTAGAAAAATAACAAACAATGGCCAATTAAATTGGTTGGTGGGGTCTAGAAAATAACAAACAATGGCCTATTAAATTGGTTGGTGGACTCCAATCACTTGGTAATTGACTGAAGTATGTCATGAACAGAACATGAACGGTTAGTTATCTTATCTATCACCCATTATTGTGTGTGTGTGAGAGAGAGAGAGAGAGGAGGTTGTGGGATCAGATGAATATTGTTGGGCCAAGCCCATATATCTTAATACAAGGAATAATCATGATTACTGTTGGGAGGAAAGACATCATAGGCTCAGGGCTGCAACTCAAGAAGTGGGCCGCCAACAGATGGATTAGGGTTTGTTATTTAGTGGACCCCATGTTTGGTGCAAAGGGCAGGGGTAGAGCCTGTGGACTTGGTGGGCCCATTATCATCCTCTCACTTTTGTAGCTAAAGTAACTCACCAAACTGAAAAGAAATATGGTCACAACATGATCAGAGAGAAAGTTATGGAAGCAATCGGTCTTGATGCCCACTACATTTCTTAAAGCATATGCTGCACAAAAGTAAAAGTCTCTTTCCAAACCTAACCTAAAAGACATTGAAAATCAACAAGGAATGAAACAGTAACACTTCAATTGAATAGTTTTACATTCAATATATATAAAATTAGACAAAAATACAGTCGCGATTATGCTAGAAAGAGTGCGCTCTCATCTTAAATTTAAACGTGTAATCGTTGGATTGAGAGTACTCACATCACAACTTATCCATCAGTGTAGTGGATTGATGATAGCTTTTTTACAAAAGAAAATGCTTTTGACCAGCCTTTGAACTTCCAAGAGGAAGAGACAAGGGCAAATATAATGAGATTTTTAGGATGCAGACATATGCATGCATTTTGACCAGCCTTTGGTGGCTCTCACCCACATTACCATCTTTCTTAGGAAATGAAGAACATGAAAACATCACCTACTCCAACATATATACACACACACAATGCAATAATGCATATGGTTGTCCAATTCGATTTTCATCAAATTGTACCACTACTGCACAAATATATGATCTCTAAGAAAACAATTTCATTGATCAAGGCATTTAACCTAAGGATTGGGTTGGTTTTGTGATTACAGATCCGTGGTTCTGTGGTATTGAAATCGCTGATTTGAAGTGTTCGGAATTGTAGTGTAGTCCCAAAACCAGGTCAGTTTGTGGTATCCAAATACAAGATTTGGATTTAGAGCATTCAGTTACTAATTTCAAATCTCCAAAATGGTGCCGCCAAACATACCTAGTATTCCTCAATATCTTAGACATCTAACCAAGGAGCATCACATTTGCTCCCTAACCCATACTCTTTTCTCAATTGGGGATGATGATTCATTCCGAATTCTCTATAAACACAAAAGTAACCGAGACAACTTTCTTCTTAATTTTCTATCCCTTTTCAAAATGAAAGGTATAAAGTTCAAATCAGTTATTTTGCTAACGGGAAAAAAAAATTTAATTTCAAAGCTCTTATGAGAAGTAGATTAATTTAGGGGTTAAATTGAACTAGATGGTGTTTAAATCATGATAAAATGAAGTTAACATGGTTGAATGGATTTATCCCAAGAGGCGCAGACCATGGATATAACTTTTTTGTATGGTGCACGTTTGTGAACCAGAGAATCAAATCTTGATCAGGATGGTACACATTTTTAACAGTGTGGATAAGGCACATGGGTGTGGGACCCTGTTGTCACAAACACATGACCATGATCATCTCATGCATGACTGACATAAAGTCATGTGATGTGAGACTATGTGTGTCATCATGTGCTTGGACTCTTCTTAACTACATCTTCAAAGTCACCGGGAAAAGACAACAACAGCTGGGATATACTTTGCCTGGAGATTTTTTGGGGATTTATTTATTTTTTTTATTATTATTATTTTTAGGTTAAGCAAATTCACACGACTATGCCTCCAAGAGACTCACACACTTCCACAAAAGCTCAAACTTCGGACCTTTCTTTTGGAGAGGTGGGTTTGTACCAACTAGGCTATTGTCCATTTGGTGGTATCCATGTTCACAACATTAGAAATATATATATATATATATATGCTACTTTCTTTAAATTCATGTCTTGAAATTAGAATTAAAAATATGTATATAGTTTACATAAATTAAAATATTTTTTGTTTAATTTCAAGACTTGATACTATGATAACCAATGTAATACTAACTTTTATCATGAAGATAGTACTCGAACTCTTAACCTCTTTTTGAGAAGCTGAGTAAGTATTTGATATTGGTTGCTTGTAAAGCTCGGTTGATATTGGTGACATGTTTAGTAATATTTGTGATTACATGTATGTAATTAATGGACAAATTAGTGTATCAATATTTTCTAGCAGTTAAGTTCTTGAATTCTTCACCAGTCTCTCTTTCTCTCTCTCACACACATACGAATGATTTGCCAAATCACTAGTTACAAAGTAATTTTAATTTCAGCTGGAGAGAAGCAAAAATGCTCTCATTTCAACCTCCAGAGTCCATAACAGAGATGCAAAGAAATAGAACACAAAAGAACAAGTCACCACGTTAATGGATTTGTATTGGGCTTCACTTCATATGATATTCCCATGGACTTGACAACCAAAAGCTAGCCCACCTAAAAGGCCCATCATGCACCATATTGAACTCCAAAAAAAGGAAGGGGGGACTATATTCTCCATTGAAATTTGAAGCCTATGTTTCAAAGCATATGATATCCGTCAACGCAGATAAGTATGTCAATTTTATTAATATTTTTATTTATGTGTCATTAACCAGAGCTATATAATTTTGAACTATATAAAATTTCTGTGTAAATGTTTACTGTTTATATACATAATAACATTTTCATCTTAATTACAGTTCTTGAAATGTCCGTTGCAAATAATCTAATTTTTAGGAGACATGTATATCTACTCTTTTAAAAATTTGAAGTTGTACATGCATCGTTTTTAAATGTTGGGAAAATTAAAAGGTAATTTAAGAAAATTCTAGAGCATACTTAATTTGTAACAATTGAAACCGTTTTTTGTTCTCATTCAATTTTTACTTCATTCAATTTTTATGAAATTATTTTATAAAAATTCAGTTATAAAAATATCTGCTTTCGAATAATTATAAAAGATTATTATCTGAGAACAGTTTTATGTTTTCTAAATTTTCAAAAATTATTTTCAAAATTACAAGTCAAACAAATTCAAATTTTTAGATTTATTTACTTTCAAATAGGATTTGCCTAATTTGCAATTTTGTTGATATTTAAGTTGACTGAAAAAAATTTCTTTTACAAGAGTAATTTACTCCTATATTAATTTTTATATTCTAAAAATATAAGAGACATGTGTGATCACATTATTGTAACACGTCAAATGTAAAGGTGGAGTCGAATATTGTTCATGTGGGTATTATATATATATATATCCTTGCAATTTAGAAGACGGAAACCCAAAAGCGAAAGAAAATGGCGAGTGGTGGTGCCGACGGTGGAAAGGTGTCGTTCAAGGTCACTCTCACCTCCGATCCGAAGCTTCCCTTTAAAGTGTTCGTAAATTCAATCTCCTCTCACTTCTTCTTCTTTTTTTTTTTTAAATCTGCTCAACTCTTCAATTAATTTGACCCTAATTTTTTTTTTAATTATGTTTTCAGGTTTAGCGTCCCAGAAGCAGCCCCATTCACCGCTGTTCTCAAATTCGCTGCCGAAGAATTCAAAGTCCCTCCCCAAACCAGCGCCATCATCACCAACGGTACCCACATTCCTCTCTCTCTTATACACAAATTATATGCATGCAATATGTTGTTTGAACGTCTGGATGTTGTTGGGATTTGTTGTGAACTTGTAATTTGATGATTCGGTATGTGTTGTTGATTATTTGTATAAAGCTAAATTTGGGTGGGTTGATTTTGGTATTGTGACAATCTTTTTGTGAACTTGTAATTTGATGTTGTTCTTAGACAGGTTTATTCGGAATGTGTTGATTATTTGTGTTAAGCTAAATTTGGGTGGGTTGATTTTGTTATTGTGACAATCATTCGAGTTTGGAATGTCTAAAATACAAAAAATTGACTGTTACAATTCCAAATAGTTCATTGGAGCGAGCTGAATGAAAATCAATATGAATTTTAATTAGTCATGACAACTAGTTTTATTGATGAATTATATAAGGTGTGAATGAATGAAACAAAGCAAAGCCCCCATGAGTTGAGAATTCATGTATGATTACCCCACAGGGTATTGCACAATACCTCCGAATTAATTCAATAATTCAATGAATAAATCATGAGAGGAATGGAATAAAATTATGAGAAGTTGTAGTACATTGAGGTGGTTTTTAACATTTATATGGCTTTGTGCAGGGAAAGGGATCTAAAACCAATTAGGGCAATTTTGCATGCCCGGCTTCACAAAAATAGTAGAAAACTCCCTGGAAAGTTTTTCATTTTGTGCACCATGTTAGGCAGGGTATGAAATTTAAGAAATACTTTTGCATCATACAGTTCCGTTAACATTTTTCCAAGTTTTTAATACCTAACATTTTGAATGAAATGTTATAATTTTTAAACTCGTTCCTAGCTTACTATCTTGGCCACTGAACCAACCCTTCAGCCACTGTTGCCTTATTATCTTCCGTACGTTGGTTACAACCCTCTGCTGAATTGAAAGAGGTATTACAGATTTGACATTGAAGTATGAATATGTGAAGAGGAAATATTTTGTTGTTGAAAGTCTTTCTCAACTGTCAATGTTTTGCATTTGAAATTCTACGGTAAAATTATTTCAAAAGTACCTTGGTCCTCTGTTGTTTTATTGACTCTATATTTACGCTTTTGTACTTGTTTAGTGATATGTTTTTGGTACCTAGAGTTGTCATGGATACTTACTGTAACAGTTCCATTAACTGTTTAAGATTTAAATGTCAGTCTAGGTCTTCTGTAATCCCCCCAGTATTATTTGTTGTGTTAAATTCATTATTTTTTTCTCGCTGCAGATGGTGTTGGAATCAATCCTCAGCAAAGTGCAGGTACGCGAGCTCTTACTTTCTTATTATTGTTTACCTGTGTGGTTTGGTGTTTTTGAATCTTTATTATTTTTGTTAAAGAACTTCTGAGTATTGATTGCAACATTGATCACATTTTTTTCTTAAATTCATTCAAAGTAAGGTGGCTGCTTTTGAAAATTGCTTACTTGCTGCATATCCTTATATCTTATGTGCTATTATTTAGTGATTCCATTACAAAGTTATACGGTTCAATGCTGCCCAGCCTGCTGTCGTTGGTTCATTCAGATATCATCTTTGATGGGTTCTGATACAGTTGGTGATTAGGAAATCCTCGTACATGGCAATCGTGGTCCAGTTGTATTAGTTCAAAGTAGGGGTGAGCTCGGGTGGGTTGGGTGGCCCAGACAAGGGGTTGAGCTGAAAATTTATAATCCTCCTACATAAAGGCAGTTGGGGTTTTCTTATGTTTTTTATGATCTTTTAGTGTCTATTAATTATTAAAATTTGAGGTTGAGACTGCTGAATCATGTTTGTTGAGCTGTTTTGATCTAAACTCTCCTTGGACACACACACACACACACACATAGATGTTGTTGGGCACCTTGGCATACTTCTTGTATACATTAGATTTGCCCCCTTTTGAGCTTAATAAAGTTCATCAAAATAAAAAAGAAAAGAAGGAAAATAAGCATCTTGTCCGCAGATTCATATTCTAACCTGATTTGGCATAACTTTGAATTCGTTATTTTGTTTTATCTGTACTAGAATTTATTGCGTTCACTCTAGCTCAGACCTTTTCCTGTTTTGTTTAGTTCCATGTTTACAACCTTTACATTTTCCCCCTCTTATGTTGTACCTGTCAAGTTCTATAATTGCATAGACTAATATCGCTGCATTCAAATAATATTTGTCATTTTAGAATAACCAACGTGCAGTTTTAAACATAGAATGGTGATGCAGCTTCAAGAAGCTGGGATAATATTATTGTGATAATTATAGCACTGATTTTTTTTTCCTGACAATGAAATTATACCATTGATGATTGATATTGAGAAACATAATTTGGTATAGCTATTGACAATGTATTTCCTCAATTTGTTAATGGCTTTCTCAGGCAATGTCTTCCTTAAACATGGGTCAGAACTGCGCTTGATTCCTCGTGACAGAGTTGGAGCTTCTTAGATATTATCTTAGATGCAGTGAAGACACTAGTCTATCACATCCTTCAGCATTTCTGAGTTCTATCAACTCCATCGGTTTGGCAATTTGTCCAATGACGCTCTAATCTACATTTTAGACTCGCATGAAAACTGAAAGCAATAATGTTTACAATATTTGGATTCCAAAGATATCCATTTTCTTTATGTAATGAAGAGTAGTGTTTTGAAAATTGACTGAAATTTCAATCCCCTAGCACATATGGATATGATAGTGTTGCGTTATGATTGCCAATAACACTACCAATTTATATTAAAGTTTTAACATCCTATTAAGCCACTGTTTATGACATTCTGTTTTTGGTACCCCATGGTCCCTATGATGTGATGAAGGATCATCTTGATTGGCATAAATTTTGTTATGAAGGTGGCCAAGAGAATGTCCCCACATCATTTCATTAGCTTGTTAGTCCTTGCATCTCTGCTAGGAGATTGGCCTACTGACTCCGAAATATCAGTGGTCAGGTACACGTGGTGGTCAGCACATTAGTTATGCCTGTGTTTTGATTGACATGCCTGAATTGTACTCTATCAAATGATCTGACACAATGACGCAGTTTTATAACTTCTACAGTCACTTGTTCTAAATACTAAATTGTCTTTGTCTGAGTGGTTTTGGATTTTGAAACGTTCAAAGCCCTAGCTCAAGCTTTCAAGATTGATAGAGAGAGAAGAAAAGAGAGAAAAAAAAATTGTAGATTCATCATGTTTCCACTAGTGAATGACCTAAAACCATTAAACCATTTCCGACACCCTGAAAGACTAAATTTTTTTTTTTTAATTTCTGATTCGTATTCCAATGCAACACAAGTAGTTCTGATTTAAGTTACACAATTATTTTTAACTAGTGTCACTTTCACGTTTCGAACACGCTTCTGCTCTCACGTTTTGCACACGTTCTTACTTAAATTTTTACTAATGATATAATTTTACCGTTTTTGCTCAACTCATATCATGTATCTACTTTAATTAAGTTGGAGATCTGTCATGGACTTCACGATCGAAACTGGGTGGGTTTCTCAATCCAAACTGAGTGGGTTTGGAAGAAGAATATGGGACAAATGCATTTACTTACATCTGTATAACCTTCAAAAAGGCTTGTGAAATTGACCAATTCTTGTCCCTCCACAACCAATTCCCTCCACCCTTCATTGCCAGAACCTTACCACAGGGACAGATTAGTCAGATTAGCAATAGTAAAAAAGTAAGCTAGAGAATGGAATAAATGGGATATGAAAGTAAAAATTCATCAACCACTTCAGATCTTTCCGAGTTAAAATGGAGCCCACCACGTGCTAGGCCCAGAACTGGCTGCTTAGATTTGTAGAGATAATTATGGATGTCTATTTATTGAGAAGGTCCCCCTTACTCAGACCTCCTGTTCTCCAGATGGTTATATATATATATATATTGAGAGTGAGAGAGAGAGAGAGAGAGATTGGCTTTTTGTGTAGATTAATGATAGTGATATACAAGTATGATAGCCAAACTCATCCATTAGATACGTTTAGGCAGGGTATATGGTGTCTCTTTAATAACCTTTTTCGTCTATATGGTAGCAATCTCCTTAATTAAACGATGAGAAGTCAACAATTTTTGTTTTCTATTTTTCTTAATTTTTAGCATTATATACATGCTGCTAATGCAAATCAAAATTTAAATTACGGAGAAATATAAGACTGATAAACAAATTACTAGTAAATTACTAAGAATACAAATTATTGGATCAGTCTGAATCACCTACTTATCTAATTTAATCAAAATTGATGTTCGAGTTTTTTTGTAATCTCTTTTTAAACTCTTATGGCTCCACTCTTTTGGTTTAAACTGAATCACGTAATTGAGAGCTTTCTGTCTAATAATAATAATAATAATAATATTTCAGAATTAATAGCTTAATTTGTGACCACCTATGCCGGTGAGGATTTAAACTCGGGGCACATCGAAGAGAAAAAAACACTAAAGAATTTTAAGAAGTATAATGAAAAACACAAATGAAAAAAAACGCATTTTAAATACATGATGTCGTAAATTAGGGGTGCAACTTGGGTTGAGCAACTAGAACACACCCTGAGTCCGCTCGATTTTTCGTGAGCCTTGGACAATTATTTTTACAAATAGGGTTGGGTCTGGGTTGAAAAATCTCAATCCAAATTTAATTATGGTTAGACTTGAATTGAGGTACTAGCAACTCAAGCAAATCCGAACCCGAATTCTAATATTTTTTTCATATATATTTTTAATTTTCAATACATTATATATAATATTTAAACTATGATTACTTTTTTTTTCAACTTCATTTGTTAAATCTTAACTTATTGTATGTTAACATTTAAGACAATTAATTTTCTACAAATTTGTTTGTAATTTATTCAAAATTTATAAAATGCCATTAAACTTTTTTTTTTTTTTTTTGTTTAAAATTAATTTAATCTAAAACTAATTCAAGATCATATAAAAATTTTGGTGTGAAGATTAGATATATGAGTAATTCGAATTCACCCTAATTTTTAACATGGAATCTAAACTCGAGTTACAAGCTCGAATTTTAAAATAGAAGAACGGGTTGGATTTGGGTTGAGTAGTTAGAATTGAATATATGATTGGGTTGAACTTGAGTTTAGCATTTCATATGTTGAGTTAGGCTCAAGTTATACTTCAAACTTGTCAAACTCGTTCGAGTTACAACCTTACCTTAAATTCATTAAAACTCCAAAGTTAAGTCAACTTACTTTAAAATAATACCTGGGAGACCCTTAAAAAATTTCTAACCAAGAGGAGTCAAAAATTGATAATATTGTATATGAATATAATGAGAGGAGTTACATAATTTTTTTTTATAATTTTTTTTAAAACTCAATGGTTATAATTTTAGTGATATTTCATTTGCCATCCATCAAGAAAGGTGAAGTTTCAAGTGGCCCGAGTTTTGACAACTGGAAAAAGGAGAGAAAAAAAATAATAATAAAAAATCCACCGGATACCCCGATAAAGTGCAGAAGCGCATGTCTCGGACTCGGGAGAACTTTCCCACCCCAGCCCCACGTGGTGACATCACCTTGTCTCTTTCTGACATATCATAATATGACAATTTCACCCTTCTGTAACTGATTACAAAGTTTTTAATGCCATTTTTTTTTTTTTTCTTCTTTTAGGGTTCGAATCACTCTAAAACCATTGTGTAAATATCAAGTTAATCTAGTTTTTGTTGCCACTTGTTTACCTGCTCCAATTTCAAGCGTTTAGTTAATTTTAATCTATGTGTTTTTTATCACCAACAAACAAATTAAATCATAGAAGAAGAAAAAGAATAATTAAGGAGAAAAATATTTAACAAGTACGGGACCACATGCTCCACTCCAAATTATCACGTTCGACTTTAAGAAGCTTTCTACTTAAAATATAAACTACACTATTTCCCCCGCGACAAAGCCAAACAAGAGAAGTCCCAACATAAATGAAAAGAGGGAAACAAATATCATGAGATACCAACACTTGACCTTCCGGTGTAATCTGCAAGTGCATAACCGCCAGTCCCCTTTAATCTATGTGACTTAAACTAAATATCTATCACCACTATGAGTACTCGTGTCATATAAAAAGTAAATGATGGTAGATATTAATTTTTCTAGCCATTGAATATTGTTTTCCTCCTCCATTATCATTATAATGCGTCTCTCGAGTCTAAACCAACCATTTGCAAATGCCTTTTATCCCATCATTTATAAGCCAACTTGCCATTTTTAATGCCAATTTTTAATATCATAATTGTCCCTAAAATACACTCCATATGTACAGTTGCCTCATATCACCCACTCTCTTTGAACCATTAAATATTTTCCACTAAAAAAAAAAAAAATTTGAAAGGAACTTTCAAGAATAAAAAATTCTCCTACTTTCCCCACTATGAAGGGTGGTCATATTTTTGGTAATTCAAAAACTCCACAATGGTTGTTTTTTTAATTTCCCTTTAAATTATTTATATTATATTATTAGGAGCATAATAGTGTAAAAACACTAATTAATTTCAGCTAATGGGGCTACAAGACTGAAAAGACACAGCATGGAAGAGGAGATGGGGGGCCTTACAAATTTTAATGTCATTGTCTTCATCATTCACCACTTCCACTATTTGTGTCTTCAATAAGATTCATTACCGACAATACGTACTCCAAAGATAAAATACTTAAATTTTCATTGTGTAAGGAAATGGAGATAGAAAATATATAATTAGTCTCTTTTGTTTTTTTCTTTAATAATTTAATTTTATTGTGTTCAAACTTGTTGAGACTTGATCATATCGAAATAATCTAATGACAAAGAATTAAACCTCACATTTTGGAGATTGAGAGTTTGAATTCTGCGGGGACCGCTCACGGAATTTTTATAATAATTGTTTGGGAGAGTTGCATGTGTCTAGTGATAGATTATGGAGTTTTCTAAGAGGCCCGACACTATCAACGTTGATAATCCAAAAAAATAAAACCTTGTGGAGGCTTTTGAAATTAAATTTTATACGGTATAACTTTGCTATATGCCATGTGTATTATTCTTTTTATGTGCAATACTTGCAATTTCTTTAGGGATGGGAATGGTAGCATTGGATTTGGATCTGTTTAATTGCATATTAAACAAGTACATGTTAAATCTGGATTTGGTCCATTGAATAAATGAGGGGTATGAGGCTTAAATCTTTAACCCCACCCCTTTAAATTCACATGCATCAAGATCTGACCCATGTAACAAGTTATTCTATTACTATATAATATATAATTATCAATAAATAATACTATTAATAAGTAATTAATCAATAAATAATACTATTAATAAGCAATTATTTTGTCCTGTAATATTGTACTATCGAGAAAACAAATTTATTAATGTTATACTCTGTTTTTTGTTTTTTGTAAGTATACAAAATTTTGGGGGGCATAATGGTCATAAAGCCAGAGTTGAGAAAAGCTATGGTCAACCTTGAGGCATTTGGAGGGAATTAAAGCGAAATGTGTGGACTCCATAAAACTCCAAAAAAAAGAAAAATTTTGAATTAAAGTTTCCATACCTATTTCTTGTTCGTTTCCGACCGTACGAATGCTTGACCGGCTGCAACCGGTCAGCTTTACCGGCAAATGATACTTCTTCACTCTCAGATGGAGTCTCCAGCCGTCTTATGCGGCTCAGCTAACGCCGGCTTGGAGCGGCTCATCAGTCAGCTGGATAATTGTAGTTTTCCCACTATTTCCCACTACAGCAGGTGTAAACTTTGTCATTTTCCCGGTTCAGGCACGGTTTCTGTTGGGAATCGAGTATTCACCCATGTCTGGGTTCAGATAGTTTGGCCATGTGGTTAATTAATTATTATTATTATTATTATTATTTTTTTGTCCTCCACCAGCTTTTGAAAGTTCGGATGTATTTGATGCGATTATTTTAATTTTTTAAAAATTATAATGTGTACAATAAAACGACAAAATTATTATATATAATACAATATAATGTGTACAATAAAACGGCAAAATTATTATTAAATAATATTTAGGTCTAGGGATTTACAATATAGTCACTGTTATTGTGAATTAATAATAAATAGATACATCTTATTTTAATTATCAAATCATAGATGGTAATCAAATCACTATTTTTAATTTGGTAAGTAAATATCTACCAACCATTTTTGATTTGGTAATTAAAGATCATGTTAATTTATTATTGGTTCACATCAACGGTAAGTATGTTATAAATTCTCACTAGTGAAGATCTAAGTATTGTCCATTATTTTTTTATAAAATTTAGTTAACAAGTGAAAATAATAAACGCTACAAGTGCCTTAGGGTTGGTTTGGTTAGCGTGAATTAGCGAAAAAGGAAAAGAAACATAAATTTTTTAAGATTTTTAACTGTTTAGTTAGCGTAAAAATGAAAGTTTTCAGGAAAATAATATTCCCGCAATTGCTTGATTTTCCTCAAAATGTTTTAATTTTAGTTTCGCATGAAAGTTATATCATTATATATTAATTTCTTCTTATACCCTTGGGTAAAATATTTCTTTTTATTTCTTAACTCACAAAAGGAGAGTTTTCTTACACAAATTAATACTCCTAAATTGATTACAACTCTTTTACTCTTGAAATTAAAATTCGTTGCTACACCTACGAAACAAAGTAAACTAATCTAATAGTAGAGTCCTAATATAAAATGAAAACTTCCAAAAAAATAAAAAACTATATAAAGAGAGACATATATATCTAGACATATATATTTATTTATAAATCCAATTATATATATTATTTTATCACTATTATTATTATTATTAAATTCATAGGGGTAATTTAATTTTGTATATTATTTTACTAATATTATTATTATTATTTAATTGTATATATTATTATTATTTTACTATTAAATTCATAAGGGTAATTTTAACATATAAAATCATTTTCCTTTCATTTTCTTGCTATCCAAACTAATTAAACAACATTTTCTCACAAGTTTTTTCAAAAAAATTCTTGCTAACCAAATGCATAATAGAAAACTAATTTTCTTTTCTTTCACTTCACTTTCTTTTCTTTTACTTTCCATCGTCAATTTCTAGTTAGCCAAACGGATCCTTAAGCATAAATGTTAAAACGGTGTACTTGTGTATAATTTATTCAAACTTTGTAAAAATTAATATAATTTACTCTAATTATTGTTTTTGTTGCGTTACCTATGATATGACTTTGTTTGTTACACCACGTTCACGTCTACATCAACAGTGACTTTTGTGCCTTTGAAACGTGCTCAGCTAAAACCCTTTTTTTGTCTTTTATTTTTGAAAAAAATGATCAAATACATTTATATAAATCCTGCGTATATGCTGTACTCTCATCAGTAAATATTGATCTCTTATTTTATTTATTTTTGGTTACTTGGTTTAGTTTTTTTTTTAAAGTGTTTTTTCTTTGAATTTCCGATTTCAAACTACGCTCTTCTCTCTTCTTTTTCTTTATTTTTGCAAAGTCCTATTTGTTTGATATTTTTAATTTTTTACCATTGATTCATGTAAAAAAGAGTATTTTTTTTTTTTTTTTTTACTAGTGTTAATATTGTCAAAGTAATGCCGGCTATTTTATGTGATGATTTGTAAAAGACTAACCAATTTTAAATAATTGCGCCTTTAACTAAAGTATACCTTATTCTACAGATGATGGTTTTTATCTACATGGATCTGTGATTATGGAATAAATTACTATAGTCTATATATTTAATACTATATAAGGTTTACATTTCTTAATTAATTATTCTTGTTTTTGTCTATATATTCTTTTTACCCCTAAGGTGAATTCTCACAAACATCTCATAAAATTATTACATCAAAATTTTAAAAAGTATCAAACTTTTTACCCTGCTGGAAAATATCTTAAAATAACTCTCAATAAACCATGCTCGAGGCATAAAAAAATGTAAAATTATCAAGACAACAAATTTCTTGATAATAAAAAACAATACGTATAGGGACAAATATTCCTTTAACAAAAGAAGGTGGATTCCGAGACAAGACTGAAAAATACTATATCACTGAGTTGACTGAACGAAAAATTAACTGTTTGATGAAGCCTCCAATGTCATGTTCAACTTCTTAAAGTCTGAGTTTGATCTATGCTCCAATAAAGTTCCATTGTGGCCAAACAAGTGGGTGGCAAATTTAATTTAATTTAATTTTTTTTTTCTCCAATAATTAAAGTGAATTGCAACTTGTACAGTTTTTCTCCCTTAGTTTTCAAATCAAAATTCTCTCAACTAACAGACAACACGTTACGTCACTTGTTAATCAATGACTTGTTTTGGAATCACAGTTGTTTTATATTTTTACTTTAACTTGAAACAAAAATAATGTTTCTGTTTTAGAGTGTGTTCAATATTATTCGAAAACATATTTGATAAAGTATATTTATTGTAAGATCTTTATTAAAAAATAGAAAGACTAGTTAAAAATATCATTTTAGAGTTTATTATTATTATTATTCTTATTATTATTATTATTATACAGTTCATTACTATAGTGTGGAAGCACTAATTTGGTGCCTGCTTTCAATTTTGATCTATTTTTCAAAAACATTTCGATACTATTCAAATTGCAGACAATAACGCTAAGCACACTTCATGCTTTTGCTTCGTTATAGTACACTACATTGTCTGAATCAAAAAGAACAAAATAGAATTGATTGTCAAACAAGTCCCAAAATGGCATCATCTTATATTTCAACTTCTTCTTCTTCTTCTTCTACTTTTTTTTTTTTTTTTTTTTAATTTCACCATTACAAAGTGGTAATTTTTAAAAAGTAAATATGGTTTAACGTGTGCACTGCATAGTACTGTGAAAAATACAATAATTTCATAACACTATGAATTGATTATCTTTGTATATCACACACACACATATGCCTACATATGAATGTCCTATGAAAACATTTTCCGCAATCAACATCTTAAGTCATTCATTAGTCAAGTTTGTTGTGATGAGATTTGTGTGCAAGGTATGTGATATCATTAATGCAACTTATTTTAAAACATTAATATTTGATTGCCTTGTCCATAGAAATATTCAATTGCTGCACAGATGTTTGCGAAAATGAGGGCATATTAAAAACTCATTAAATAAAGAATTGGAAAAAAGACTACGTTTGGTGATTAGCAGATGAAAGGGTTATTTATTTATTTATTTATTTGTTATTGACAAGAAATTCGTACCCACCATATTCATCCATCTACTTTCTTTAAAAATTCGAACTTCCACCATTTACTTTGAAGTTTAGAAGGTAAAAAAAATATCACTAGATCACAAAAATTCTTAATAATTTTGTTAAACTTCCGTTCACACTTATACTTAACTAATGAACGACCATCGTATAAATCATGAGCCATTTGATTATCTTAATTAATTAATAGGACATATCAATGCCTCTCACATAGCATTGTTATTAAGAGAGTTGTCTGATGGCAAGGATCATGATTTTTTTTTTATTAATTACTAGTTTTATTAAGATAAATTTTAAAATTGGTAAAAATTTAAAATTAATTAATAAATCTTTTACGAGTCTTTAAAGGAGTAAATTCGTGTGTGAATAGTGTGTGTGAATTTTTTATCAATAAAATAAATAAATAAATAAACAACAAGAAAAACTTATACCTCTTGTTATGAAAAATTTCTCTTAAACCTTAATATCCTAGATATGACCGCCAGAGAACGAGCCCTAATACACACTTTAAAACTTGGGCAATAGTTATATTTATTTGAAGGCAGTAGTTATATCATGTACAGTATAATATATAGGAAAATTCTATATGAAGTGAACCATTTCATTGACTGGTTTATGAAAAATACAAAATGTTATGTTTGGGAGCCCTTTAGATTTAGAATTGGTGAAAAATTAGTTAAAATTTTTTCTAATTTTAAATTTAAAGCACTAATATGATGCTCCCAAATGTAATAAAATAATTAATAAAAAATTATAAAATGACATCAAATGCAATTACCGTTAGGAGAATGAAAAATTATTAGATACTACTAAACATGTGGTCTATCAGAATTTAATGTCATGAATTTTTGTCCCATATCGAATTCTGACAGGGAAGAGCCTTGAGCATATGAGGTTGGGTATTAACAATACCTAATAATTAAAAATTTTAAATTAAATAGTGAAACACTCATAACAAATGGTATAACAGTGCGGAAACAAAATGAAAGATTGTTTTTCATAACAACCTAATTTTTTTGAAAAAACAAAAATTAATGAAATATTACTTTCAATAACAAACTAAAATTTTATAAAAGTTTTTTAAAAACAAAGAAATATTTAATTTCTTAAGAAAATTATATGAAATTACAATAATGCACTTTCTTTCCAAAATGCTCTTTTTGATTTCTGATACCCAACCATATCATAGTCCGTTCCAACATTACTGGCTCCAAGCCACGCCGCCAAGCTAACTACTAATTCCGGCTTACGTTCCAACATTCTCTCTCTATATTCTACCCTCTCTGCAACAAGCCAACAACTCCCTCTCCTCTCTCTCTCTCTCTCTTCAAGAAAATCCCGAAAACAGCCACACTAATAAATTACTAACACAGGAATTCCATGCCACCATAAAAAATCAAAACTCATCTTTATAGACCTTCACTGCAACACTCCCAGACAAAATCTCTCTCTAAATATATATATATATATATATATCTATATATACTGTATATATACTGCATGAACTCAAGCACAAGCCAGTTCCCACCCATGAAACCCAAGACCCACTACCACAACACCACCGCCACTACCACCACCACGACGGCCACCGCCAATGGCTATTCCAGCGACAGTGGCTCTCCGAGCCCACCTCCGTCACCACGGCATCATTCTAGCCTCTCCCTTTTCCGCCGGCGACGGCTGCCTCACAAAACCCACTCACATTCCCGCCGGGAGAGCTTATTCGCCGGAATGTTCCGCCGGCAAAGCCTCCGGTACTTTGTTCTCTTGTCTCTTCTGTACGTCTCGGGCCTGATCATGTGTGTGGGTCCCTTCTCTGCCATGATGCAGCCTCGTCTACCCGGCTCGGTCTACCGTAGCCATCAGATCTTCCAGAAGCTGTGGCATGAGATTGAGTCCGATAATTCATCTGCAATTGAGGTTTGGTGGCGTTTGCCCAAATGGGTTTCTTTTCTTTTGGTTCAATTTTCGTTTTTCCATTTTGGTTCTGTGTTTGGATGCTGAGAAAATGCAAGGAAATAGAAAAACCAGTACTGAATCAATTAGTTTTACTGAATGGATGTTTTCCTGGTTTTTATTTTTATTTTTGTTATTTTTAGTTATTTTTTTTTGTTACTTCACAAAACTCCACCTAAATGAGCCTAGAAGAACTAATTGGCCTCTTTTCCTGATGTTGACTTTTATCTTGCAATTTACTTCTTGAATTCCACATGTAGAAACCAATACAACTTAAAAATATGTATGTCATGACAATATGTATATAAATACTATTGATTTCTGCATATAGAGACATAGAGAAGAAACGTAAATGAGTAATTTTGTGATACCGAAGTGTTATATATTTAAAGGAATCTTTATTTATTTTTTAAATATTCAAACATTAGTTATCGTTTTGGGTATACTCTGAAGCAGTGGTTGATATGAGGAAGGGAAGTGGAACACATGATGCAAGTAATGATTTGAAGATGAATGATAAAATCTAATTATATACCATGATGTTAAGCATTTGAATGCCATTGAAAAATTGAAGAAACATTTCTGAAAAGTTTCAGTAACAGACTTTTTTCTTTTGGTAACGAGGAACTGTTCTAACAAGGTGCCCTTTAGACTTGTGCCAACAGTGCAAACCCCGACCACGGATATAGCTTAAACCAGGACTTGAACTTGAGACCTCAAGGGGTAGTAACTTAGAGACCATGCCATTTGAGCAACCTGACAGTTTAGTTTGAGAAACAGATTTAGTAGGAAAAAAGGTTTTCTCATGGGTAGAATTTTTGGTAAATGTGGTGTTACTACAATATCAAGATGCATAGGCATCTGGTAATTTATATTGCACCATTGCCCTGAACTTGTATAGTCTGAATAATGTTACCATTTATGGTTTGTAAGTGTTATTCTTGGAGGCATACCGCCCTGATAGCTTCAGTGTATTGAATCATTGAGTTATATTGTCTTGAATTTTCTTAGAAAATATTATATGACAAGATAATTAGCGGATGAACCGGACAAACTTCTATGATATTCTTGCTTTGCTGAGAAAAGATGTTCACAGAGCATCTTTTTATTAACATTGTTTCTAAATAATGCCCAAACTTCTATGATTTTAGTACCAGAATCAGATGCCTAATCTCGGGAGAAATAGGCTTGATTTTTTGGTTTTATTTAATTCAATATTTGCATGATATATCTGCATTTAGCTAAGATCATGTGTCATTTCTTCTTGTAGTTGTCCTCTGTGTGGAGATACAAAAGGAAGCTGAAAGAGCAGAAATCCTGTCCAAACATAACTGCTAGCCTGCGGGATTATGGTATACAACTCTAATTTTTGATTTGCTTTGCCTGTATGTTATCCTTTCTAAGAGTGATAACGTAACATATTTTAATGATTTGTTAATAGCATCTCCCTAATTTGTCTCATGTTAATAATAATGATCTGAGGGTTAGGGCAATAACATATTATAGGATATGAACACTTCTATATTGATGAAGAAAGTAAAGAGAAATAGCTTTCTATGTATGAGCTAATGAACTAATGTTTTTCATTTCAGAGTCCCTAGAGCCTGGTCATTACTTGATTGTTGATGCTAATGGTGGCCTTAATCAGCAGCGCTCATCGGTACGTGTTCCCCTTGTAAATATTCCTAGCTTAGGTCACAGGTTATTAATTTCTTCCATTTCAAATAAGATTTCTCGGTATAATATTTTTCATACCTAAGTCATTCATTCCTTTATAATGCTTTGTAAATACTTTGCACCCTTTGACCCTCTGGATGTTCTCTCCACACACCCCAAATGCATATATGTTAATGATGAGACTTATGGGTTCGATCTTATGTTTTTCAGTGTGGCTCCGTTTTCCTCTAAAATGCAGTACCTCTAGTATGGCTACATTTTTTAGAGTGGTGAGCAACAATCTATAACATCACAACATAATCATAAAAAAATTAGGGCAAGGTTCTGAAGTTTGACTTTAATCACTTAGGAATCTTGTAACTAATGGGACTTTGTGTTAATTTTAAACAATGGAGGAATTATTTGGAGTATTGTATACCTATTTTTTCCCAAAAAATTCAAGATCAAGAAACAATATCCGAGGGGGAGAAAGGGAAACAACATACAATGAATAGGACAGAATTTTAAATCACCATGTATAGATCAAAAGTTAAGTACTCTCTACAAGCTGTAGAGTGCACTATGTACATAATTTTCCCTAAATCTTTCCTTTATGGTTCAATCATGAGAAGAAAAGAGAAGATAAATTGCAGTCTTCTGATCAATTCAAGTGAACATAAGCTGGTCATACATGCATGTGATAACCCACTTCATGCTATATGTTTTTGAAACTTGTTCTTACTTTTAATTTCTTTTCTGGCAGATTTGCAATGCTGTAGCTGTGGCCAGGCTTTTGGATGCAACACTAGTCATCCCTCGGTTTGATTTCAACAGTGTTTGGAGGGACCCAAGGCAAGAAATATTTGTTTTTTCTTATGTTGGCTTTTTGTGCCCAAATTTTGGTGAAAAGAAAATCAGAGGATCTTCCATTAGAATCCAATTGGTTTGGAAGTTGAATATTGTCTACAACACGATATGATTTGAGATAAATAAACAGGGAAATTATCTAGTAGAAGATATTCAGCGTGCACATCCTTAAGAAACATCTAAAGAGATGAAACTTGGTAATGCATTACATATTTAATGAAGTAAAAGATGACCTAGAATAGGATTTGGATGGTGTGACTTTATATGTATTTGTATTGCCCTTTGGTTGTTCCTTTTATTAGTATATATGACCGGAAATTTTTCCTGCAATAGTAGCAGTTACCTGGCAAATATATGTTCTCATTCTTATTTTTATTTTTATGTTTTAGCATGCATTCTCACAATAGATTTAATTTTTTTTTGTGTATTAATCTTTCATCTTTTTGCACTTTACAGTGGTTTTAGCGATATTTATGATGAGGACCATTTCATAACCACCATTGAGGGTTATGTAAAAGTGGTTCGGGAGCTACCTGAGGGATTGATGGAAAGATATGACTTCAATATTAGCAATATACCAAACTTCCGAGTCCAAGCATGGGCACCTGCCAGTTATTACTCGGAAGAAGTTTATCCTGTCTTACGTGGGCAAGGGTAGGTACTTAAATATTGTCTCTTCCCTTTCTAATTAATCTCTTTATGAGCTCTAAGGAATGGGTTACTAAGGAATATTTCTGTTATTGAGTTCTCAATGATATCAACAAAGTGGAACTTGGAGCAATCTAATAATTGAGTAATGAAGGAAAGGATGGCTGCATTGATAGTTGATTTGCACAATAACATCCTTGTTTTTTAGTTGGTTTTCAAAAGTCACAACCCTAGATGTTCTGCTTCTCAGTTCTGGAAGGACATGGATGCTTCATCATATAGTTTAATTGCTGGTAGAATGTATAATTGCGTGGCTATGGATTTGAATGATTCCTCTCTATACCATGTTAGACCTTTAGGACTATGAACAAAACAGGACTGGATGATTAGTTTTTATGTATTATGTCAATTAGTTGCAAGTTCTACTTGTAACATGAGGCTGCTGCTGTTACATTTGAGGTGGTGTTACCAAGTCTGACAAGTAAGCAATAACTTTCCTTATCAAGAGTGATGTATTTCTCAATTAGAAATAGAATTTTAGTTATGAAGGAAGGATTTTGTTAGTATAGGATGCGGTTATGGACTTCTGAATGAGGAAATACATGTTGACTTGCATAGGATGTTCTATACATATACATATATAGCAATATAGATTCATTTTCTGCATTTCTGTGTTCTGAAATTGTTTACAGATCCGGCGCTTGATTTATCAAGTCAATCTTCCTGAATAGTGCATGTTATAAATACCAATGTGTTGATGGGGAAAATCTCAAAGTCTGTGCAACTTATTATGTTCAATCATTATGTGGACAGTTTGAGATGTATAATATCGCTTCTGGATGTGTACTGAACACCTTGGTTAATTTTTTCTTTTATTGGCATATGTTTCTGGTTTTGAAGTCATTTATGGTAATGGGGATATGTTTTGTACTCGCAAGTATGTGCAGATTACAGACAAATGTGAAATAAGAAACAAACTGAGTAGTGCTATGCATCTTATTGTTATTTGTATTGCTTCATGGATCAAGATCCACATATCGTATCATTCAATCATGTGTCAGAACCGAGTCCCTAATCAATGTTATTCTAATCCAACTTCTTACACACATGGACTGAACAACCTGTGCACAAAGTTCAAGTAAGGTAATACGTAAGTGGTAGTTTCAATCACGATATGTGCCCGGCTAGCCATATGTTTCAATTAATCGAATAATGTATGTCAATCAAACTGATTAGCAGGGGATGGTAGAATATGGAGAATGATCATTGTTGGTTAATAAGCACAACTAACTTGGATATTATTTATCTATTGTCTCAATTAGCATGAGGTATAGCAAACTATTAACTACAGTCTCAAAAGGGTGAAGTGAGTCAGCCACATCAATATTAATATGATGAATTTCTGAATTTTTTTCTTTTCTTTTCTTGGGTATAGAATTTTTGAGAGTACAAAAATTGTTCAAAAATATTGTATGAGACCTAGTTGTTCATAATACGTTACCTATATGATGCAGAGTTATCCGCATTGCTCCTTTTGCAAATAGATTGGCAATGAATGTTCCACCTCATATTCAATTTGTGAGATGCCTTGCCAATTATGAAGCATTGAGATTCTCTATTCCCATCAATACTCTTGCAAAGAAACTGGTCAACCGAATGATTGAGAAGAGCACCAATAGTAATGGGAAGTATGTATCCGTCCACCTTCGATTTGAGGAGGTACTGATTTTCTACTTTTAATCCTAAAAGATTTAATTGATTGGGATTTTTAATCTTTAAAAGATCAGTCAATCATTTATCTGCAACGTTTAGGACATGGTGGCCTTCTCATGCTGTGAGTATGATGGTGGAAGGGCTGAAAAATTTGAAATGGATTTGATACGAGAAAAGGGATGGGGGGATAAGTTCAAGCGTAAAGGCCGTGTAATTGCACCTGGTGTCAATCGGATCAACGGAAGATGCCCTATGACTCCTCTGGAGGTTAGTTATCCAACTCTGTAACATTTTAATTCTTTAGTTTCAGTTTCTGCATTTAGGAGAAGAAAATTGGAGATAGCTTAAGTGGAGGTTAATTTTTATAGCTATGTTTGTTCAATTTTTAGTTTTTCATTCTTATCAATGTTGTTTCTAGCTATTAGCCTGTGGAATGGCTTCGATCTTATGCTATATAATTATTGAAATCATTTTTTAGGCCCCAAAAGCTCATGCTTGTCAGCTCGAGCTTTTACAATTGCACCAATCAATTTCCTCTCTCCATCATAATCCTTCTCATAAGTTGATATTCAACAGAGTGATGTTGTTGACACTCAAATGGTAGAACACACAAGTCACACTTCATTGAGTATGTTTTATGATCATACAGTTTTTGACTTGTGGATGTGGCTTCCAGTTGCACTGGCTGCACTTTAATTTACGTGTACATAATGAACATATAAAGAGATATGGAAAATGGCAACTAAAATAAATTAAAAACAATAAAACCATCCTGTAGATTTATGAATATTTCACATGACATGTGTAGGACAACAAATGAAAATTATGTATTCCAATAAATAAAAACTGAAAATTTTAAATTATGAAAAATTCATTAAATAGATTTGTTGGAAAGATTGCTAATCTGAACATGTAAATCAATTTGATATCATTAGCACTGTAATATATATTTATATATAAGAATATAGTTGTTAGCCCTGTATTCTTATTATTTTATATTAAAAGGAAAATTATTATTTTACCGCAAAAGATTGCCTTGCAATATGTGTAGCAAATACTGAATCATCCAGTGAGATATCTCAAAATGCAAGCAAAATATCGGTCGATCCAGCCAATCCAAACCGATTTAAACCCAATCAGGTTCAACTTGCCTTATATAGTATCATGACTCAGTGTCTGGTCGGATATAGGCATGTTCTTTAAGTTCATTTTAATCTTTTGTTTCCCACCGAAGATGAAAGGCTCATTCTGTAATAGGCTGAAAAAATGTTCTGCGAGACAGGATGTAATCTAATGCTTCAAATTGAGGGTGTTTACTTTGACATGTTATGTAGATGTAATGCACCTTAGAAACCAATTTTCATCAATTGTTCTGGTTGTGATCTGGTCAGTTGGATATTTTGTCCCAAATTTTGTTACATAACTGCAAATGTTTCCTATAATTACTTGCACATAGTTGTCTATCCTGTCAAATAGTAACTTTTTTTTTGTTGTTGCGTATGTTTTCTTTGTCAGCATAGGTTGGGATGATGCTAAGGGGTATGGGGTTTGCCAATGACACACCAATATATTTGGCCTCGGGAAAAATTTACCAGGCTGAGAGAAACTTAGCTCCTCTACTTAAGATGTTTCCCCTTCTACATACCAAGGAGTCTCTTGCAACCCCGGATGAGCTCGCTTCATTTCAGGTATAATTTTTGTACTACCTATATTGCAACATATTTTTCCGTCATCTATCTATTTTAATTTCCGAAATCTGTACTCAGGGAGCTTGTTGAATTGGGTTGACAAGATGTCTTTGTGAATCTTCTTGTCCAATCTCAACTCATCCTCATCACTCTCATAGTTGTCATCGGTCATATTTGTCTTAAATTATTGCTACAAACCTAGTTGGCAACAGTGACCAGAAATCACTTCATCATCCTGTCTATTAGAAGCCTATATACGTATGCATCTTTAATTTGATAGGCAAGTGGAGAACTGAGATGAAGGTGTTTGGGCTGCCAAAATGGCTCTAACCAAGCATCCAGTGGTGCCGTTAGCATGTCTTAACAACTGAACTAACTTGCATATTCAGGAGGCTATAAATATGAACTACAACATGAAAATATAGGGAACTTACTAACTATAGCCATGTTTTTATCCATGTCCTTTTCTTCCTTTTATAGTCTAAGCTACCAGTGCAGTCATATTTCAAATTTTTTTTCTTAGTTGGTACTCACACACACGTCTCCACTGAGGCTTAAACCCCCGACCTCCCATTGGGAAGTAAGGTCCTTATACTACTAGGCCACTGGCTCGTTGGTTCATATTTCAATTTGGTACATTTCAATTTGTTCAATCCAATGTCCCATACATGCATCCCATTTTGTCTTTTCCAGATGGATGGGAAATTTGCAATTAAACTATTAGACCATAGGAAAAAACAAAAAAACTATTAGACCGTAAAAGTGAAATTGCAATGAAAATTTTAAAATCATGTAGCTGTGAAATGTAGGCATGTTGCATGTTTAATGATCATTATTGGAAAAAAAAAGAAAAAAGATGTGATATTATGTAGCTGTGATATGTAGGCTGTTGTATGTAATGATCATTATTCGGAAAAAATAAAAATGGAAAAAAACCCCAACCTTTCCAGCTTGTAAAAAGCACAGCAGCTTCATAATTATGTCTTATCAAGACATGGAGATGATCATTTGATGGATTTTATTCTTGGGCTTCAATGTTTTCCACGTCACCCACCAGCCATCTGTGTATGCAAAATAGGCTTCGTGATATACATATATTCTGAACCTTCTGATTTTTTTTTTTTCAAAGTTATTGTGGTTTACAACTAGCCAATTCAAATTTGAACAGCTTTGTGCCATACACACCCACACACATATATATGGTTTGAAGCTGATGACAGGGTAGCTAGATGCAGTCAAAGGCTCAAAGCCATTTATTTAACTTCCTGAGTCACTTGGAGAGGTTATGACAAATTAAAATTATGCAAAATAGGCTTTGTTACATACATTTATATCCCGAATCTTCTGATATTTTTCTTAAAATTAGTACATTTTGGTATTTATGAACAGGTACAACTAACCAATTCAAGTTGGAATATCATTTTTTCTTTTTCTTTTTGTTTGTTTGTTTTTGAACATGTTCTAGGGGTATGTAGATGCAGTCAAAGCTATTTATTTGACTTCCCTAGTCACATGACAATTTAAAACTGTAAAGATTATAATAAATAAAAAACAAAACTGGTCTGGAGTTCAAGTTGACTGGAAATTTCATTCAACTCATACCAGCCCAGTTTCTGGTAGAACCAGTGAGCTCTGCAAAATTTTTAACTCCATTATTCGACTTTTGGTTCGATAGGGCTATTCTTCGAGATTGGCTGCTTTGGACTACATGGTATGCTTGTTTAGTGAAGTGTTTGTCACCACCCAAGGTGGAAACTTTCCGCATTTTCTGATGGGCCACAGGAGATTCATATATGATGGACATGCTAAGACCATCAAGCCTGATAAAAGCAAGCTTGCTGTTTTACTGGAGGACACAAGCATGAGGTAATCTCCTTTTACCTCCACTTCATGTATTTGAGCGTGCTTCTCAGGGTTTCTTGAGAGCATGAATTATTAGAGTATTGTGTATTAAAGTAGACTATCTAACCTCAATTTTTTTTTTTTTTCCAAATGTTCTCTAAGAAAACAAAGAAAAGGGTTACCACATTTCTAAACATCATTTCCATAAAATTTTTTTTTTTCCCCCAAATTTGGTTTATAGTTGTGTTATTAAGAACATAAGAGATATGAAATTGGAAAAAAGAAAGTACATGAAGAAAAAGTTAACAGCATAGAAAACATGTGATGCGAGCAAAATATTTATTAACTAAGAATTAACACTGATACTTGTTAGTCATGTCTGTTTGTTGGTTATCGAATGCAAGAGTTTGACCTTGGGGTTTCAAAACTATTGAAGTTAACTTCTGCTGAAGCATTACATGAACTGCCTTATTATGTTAGCTGCCAAAGATTGTACTACCTCTTTCTATACAATAATGTTAATATGAATTATATGATGAAATTTTAAATTTTGGTTTGTTTGAACTTCTAAAATTTTGAAATAATCCCAACATAAAACAGTCATTTAAACAAACCTGTCTCTGTGCATTGTTTCACAGTTGGAAAGATTTCAAGGAGCAAATGGAAGCGATGCTTGCTGAAAGTGACCGCAAGGGGATAATGATACCTAGAGTAAAAAAAACCAAAAGAAAAGCTTCTATATATGCTAACCCTTTGCCAGAATGCAGGTGTCTCTGGGAATCACAAAACTCAACCTTCAAGCAGACACATGCTTCCTTCATGACTAATCACTAACTCGGTTGCGTGATAGGTGAAATTTAACATACAACAACTTCTTGTCTCACTTGTACACTCATAGTTCATACACCAGAAGTGTTTATTTGGGAGCTTTGGCCATTGTTGTACCTTTGCTTCTTAATGCCTCTATTACCACGAGATCTTCCTCGGATGGGAGCTAGCCATTGCAGCTACATGTGAAAGGCAAAGTTGGGAATTCTTTGTCCAAGGTCTCTTTTTTTGGCCTTGGGCATGGAGATTTTCAATCTCTTCTCTGCTTCGGCTGCTGAAGTTTGGCCCTTAAGATACATGCCGGCCTGATGTGGGAACCCTGCTCGAATCTCGATTCAGAAGATGGTTATATCATTTGTTCTTCATGAGTGGATGGCGAGAGACCGAGTTTGACCTGTTTTATCTGAGATTTGACAGAATCCTTGGCCAGTCGGTATAATTTTTGGTTACTGTTGTTTTTCAAGTGTAGAAAAGATCAGCACTAAAGTATAGGAATTTTAAGATTGTTAGCATTTCGTCATTTTTTTTTGTGTTCTTTATTCAATTCTTCTAACATCCATACCAAAAGAATTCTAATAGTGGGGCGTGCATTGTTTTTCTGGAAAGCCTAATTTGTTGTGATTTGACCAACTTGGTATAAATGCAAGCATTGAATTTGAACTTTATCAGGATAAATTCTACTTGAAATTTATGTTCATGGATTGTGGGATCCAGTGATTGTATGGGTTTATAGATTGGCTGCACTCGGCTGGGTCCATGAATTTGTATTACTGACTGAGCTGGTGGTGTGAGATAATAAAAAAGGAAAATGATATAAATGATCGTGTTTTTTTTGTTTTATTTATTTATTTTTTTATCAAATGATGTGACAATTATTGAGATAAACACACGGACAAATAATTCATGTTGAACTCTATTTATTGGAATAACACAAAATCCAAAAAAAAAAAAAAAAAAGGGTTAGTCGTATGGTTGAGGCAATTCTTGTATGATTGTTTTGATAGAAAAGTGAAATCTAGAGTCGTTGAAAAAAGCAGTTGTATGTCAATATGTTCAAAATATTGGTAATTTGTAATTTGTATTATTGAAAAATATGTAGAATGAGCGAAAATATATCTGGCATGTCCAAGTCCAGCTACATATCTAATTCCTATGCAGTTCATACACCTTTAGGTTCCTTTATCATTGATTCCCATGTCTTCCCTGTATAATCTGAAAGATTCTCTCTGTACAGAAGAAACTTTGAAGATGTCACAACTCAACCACAGAATTGACCTTCACACTCAGTTTCACGAAGAGTTCAAGAGAACTGCATTTCTAAATGTGAAGTTGGAGGGATCCATTGCTGAATGCTGGTGTCCGCTAGGGATTTCAGTTGTGAAATCAATTATAGGTCCCGGGCTACATATAGGTCCCGAGTTACATGATCCCGGTCAATAACAAACTGTTACGCAACTAAAAAATTGAATAAACTATCATATTTATTTGCATGACTTTTTGTTATGAGTCCGTTTATAGTTATCAAAATTATAATACATAAGCAAACAAGTACCTTTTTTCCGACACTACTCATGCTATTGAACTTTCTTCTCAAGAAGTGCACCTACGAGAAATAAAATTCAAACTCATTACTAAACTTCAAAATATTTTTGAAACAGTATATAATCACTTATATATCCTTGTAAGCCTTAAAACTCAATTAAGAATGCCAAATTTATTGTCAGTGGATATAGGGTTCTTCTCCCTCTATAGTATTCCCAAATATAGAAATAAAATAAAGGTTTTGTGGTTGGTCCAATTTGGCAAGTGCAACCTAAACATCTATTATTATGTAAATAATAATATAATAAAATCATATTAGTACGACGAGCTTAATAACATTTAAGGCAATGTTAACCAGGATATAATTAGTCACTCCCACTTCAAATCTCTTTGACAAAGCAACATATTGGGAAGGAGAAGAAAGAAAAAATAGAAATTGTTGTCACTAATAAACAATATGCAATATATATATATATATATATATATATATATATATATATATATATATTTCTAAACAGAAATTGGGAATGCGAGAGTGAAGGGAGTGTATATTGTTGTATATATATCAGTCACTCTCTACTTTAAACTGAGAAGAATAATTCCCAATTAACAGTCAACTGAAAACCTATCCTATTTTTCTAAACTGTTGTGGGTTTGGACTTGGGCTTAAAGCTATTTGGGCTTTGTTCACTTTTTGGGTACTAAACTACCGAAGCTACGAACCAAGCAGTGAAGTTACTGGCCTTCATGGGTATTCATGGATGTGACGCGGATTGTAACTGCTATTCGTCACTGTGGGCGAATTCGAGCCTTCAAAACTGGAAAATCACTTCATTCTCATCTAATCCGACACGGGTCTTTGAATGATGTGTTTATTGCCAACAATTTGATCGCCATGTACGTGGATTTCTCAATTTTGAATGATGCACAACGATTGTTTGATGAATTGCTTCACCGAACTGTTGTTACTTGGACTACCATGGTCTCTGCATATACGAAACTTGGAAGTCCTCATGTAGCTCTTAGACTCTACACTCACATGTTGGAGGCACAATCTGAAAGGCCCAACGGGTTTTTGTATTCTGCAGTTTTAAGAGCTTGTGGTACTGTGGGTGATCTTGAAATGGGTAGAGCTATTCACAGTGACATTTCTAGAGATGAATGGGAGTATGACACTGTGTTAATGAATGCCCTTTTGGACATGTATCTAAAATGTGGGAGTTTGAGTGATGCCCGGAAAGTTTTCGATGAGATTGTAGTAAAAAATTCGACTTCGTGGAACACCATCATTTCAGGATATAGCAAGGAGGGTGATATCGTGGAGGCAAAGAATTTGTGGCAGCAAATGCCAGAACCCGATGTTGTATCTTGGAACAGCCTTCTTGCTGGTTTTGCGAATAAACAGAGTCATTTTGCATTGGGACTTGTAAGCATGATGCACCAGAAAGGCCTCAAGCTTGATGTTTTTGCAGTGCCTTGTGCTCTTAAAACCTGTGGTTGTCTACGTTTATTAGGCATGGGGAAACAGGTTCACTGTTATGTTGTCAAATCAGGTTTTGAGTGTTCTTGTTTTACATTATCTGCTCTCATTGATATGTATTCAAATTGCTCTGAACTGGATGCGGCAGTAAAGCTATTTGATAAATACTTGAGCTGCAAATCTTCTAGTCATGATAGCTTGTCTATTTGGAATTCTATGCTTTCTGGATATGTTGTTAACGAACAGCATGATGCTGCTATCAGCCTGGTGTCACAAATTCATAGCTCTGGCACACATATGGACTCCTACACTCTTAGTAGTTCTTTAAAGATTTGCATCGACTTGCACAACTTGAAACTTGGGCTCCAAGTCCATGCTTTGGTTGTTGTCTGTGGGTATGAGTTGGATTATGTTGTAGGAAGCATTCTTGTAGATTTCTATGCAAGACATGGGAACATTAGGGATGCATTGGGATTGTTTTGGAGACTCCCGAAGAAAGATGTTGTAGCTTGGTCTAGTTTGATTGCAGGTTGCGTTAATGGGGGATCAAACTCGTTTGCGTTTTGGCTGTTTAAGGAAATGATTAGATTGGATATAGAAGTTGATCAATTTGTTATTTCAAGTATTTTAAAAGCTTGTTCAAGTCTAGCAGAGCATAAAAGTGGTCAACAGATTCATGCTTTTTGTGTTAAGATTGGGTATGAATTAGATCAGGTAGCGGTTACCTCTTTAATTGATCTGTACTCAAAATGTGGTGAAATTGAGTCTGGATTAGCTTTATTTGAGTATGTGTCTGAGAAAGATACCGTGTGTTGGACAGGGATTATAGTGGGGTGTGGGCAAAATGGAAGAGCGAAGGAGGCAATTGGGTTTTTCCGAAAGATGATAAAATTAGGGTTAAAGCCAAATGAATTCACTTTTTCTGGTGTCCTTTCTGCCTGTAGACATGCTGGTTTAATTGAAGAAGCAAGGGTCATATTAAAGTCTATGAAATCAGAATACGGACTGGAACCACAATTAGAGCATTACCATTGCATGGTTGATCTTCTTGGTCTAGCTGGACTTTTCAAAGAGGCAATGGAATTGATTGCTGAAATGCCATTTGAACCTGATCAAACAATATGGGGGTCCTTGCTTGGGTTCTGTGGGACTCACACGAACACTGAACTAGTCGATTTTATTGCTGAACGCCTTATTGCTATCTCTCCTGAAGATCCTTCTGTATATGTGAGACTTTCAAATATTTATGCATCATTGGGATTATGGGATGATTCAAATATGGTGAGACAAGCAATCAAGGAAATGGGCATAAAAGAAGCTGGGAGAAGCTGGATTGAGATTAGAAATTAATTAATCCTGCTTCATTACATAGCTAGGGACAATTGCATTATGGCTAATTAAGGAGGCAATCAGGATTTTGCAAGATGTTAAAATTAGGGTTAAAGCCAAATGAAATAACCTTTTCGGTTGTTTCTGGCTGTGGACATGCTGGTTTAGTTGAAGAAGCAAGGGTCATATTTAAGTCCATGACTGCAGAATTTGGACTGGAACCACAATTAGAGCAGTACTATTGTATGGCTGATCTTCTTCGTCGATTTTCAAAAGAGGAAATGAAATTGATTGCTGAAATGTTGTATGCGTCTTGACCAAACAATATGGATTTCCTTGCTTGGGGCCTGTACCCTGAGCTGATTGATTTTATTGCTGAACAGGTTCTTGTAGTTTCTTCTAAAGATCCCTCAGTATATGTTTATGTTACAATTATCCTTCAGTATATGTTACAATTTCGAACATTTATGCTTCATTATGATTGGGGACAAACTATCAGGGAAGTGGGCATAAAAGAAGCTGGGAGAAGCTGGATTGAGATTAGAAATTGATGTGTCCAGCTTTATTGAATAAAACTATATAGTATTTTGGAGATGCAGGAAGGCCACAAGAGTTTTTGGCACTTGCAAGGATCTCGATACGAAGCTGGGTCCTTTCGGCAAAGTTCAGAGTATGTTGCATTTTATTCCAGATCACTTCCTCCCTTTTGTTGAGCTCCACAGCTGAATTTAGCTGAAGTTCAGTCTCAGCCAATCCCTTGGGACCAGCTCCATAAGTTCTATAATGTCTTCTAACTGCTGAAGTTGTCACATTGTACATGTATAGAACATATTCTATGTATTGTAATCCACTGAGTCATGAATTTTTAATACATTCAAGGTATAATCCATATCAGTGTTTCTGTGATGCATATCATTTTCCACATAAAAAAAAACTATATAGTTTTATTCAATTCTATTAATGGAACTAGTAACCATGGTGAATATATGAACCAAAATAAGAAAGGTGAAATACTTAATATACAATAAATCATTGGGTTGCAAATACAAATTGGAAGGGGATCTTGTTTTCTGTTTTTCCTTGCATTTTCCTTTTGGCTCTATTTGTTTTGACGAAAAATATTTTTTGCAAAACATTTTAAACATTTTTTTTTTTTTGGTGTTTAGTTGTCCCAAAATCAAGTAAAATATTTTCCCAATATCTTACAAAAACAACTTACCCACAAACTTTTCTTAAATCATTTTACAATTCTTTACCTGATCAAATCCTCCTCCCCCTCTCTGTATCTCTCCCTCTTCACACCATTGATGTCTCCCTCTTCATATCATGAAGACATCTATCTCTCTTGCACCACAGCCGTCTCTTTCTTTGCACGATAGACTTCTGGAAAACCCTAAAAGAAGGCTTTGACTCTCCCCCTTCAAAAACAGGAATGAATTGTTCGCTCTACGTAGATTTTAAAATTATTACTGTAATTTTATGAATTCAAAGTGTGCAATTTTATGCTACAGTTTCAAAATATGAAGACCTAGAACATTTGTAATTGTATTCAATGAAAATATTATCAATCAATATTTTGGTTTAAGTATTTATTTTTCTTATACTGTTCCTTGATTAGCATATTCTTTTGCAATAATTTTTTTTCTGTTCTTGTTTGCCTTTGATTTGAATAATCTATATTTGTTATGTTTGTGGGTTTATTTATTAAGTGAACTACTCCAAATCCTCACTCCTATTGAAGGAGAGATCCTTAAATTTGGGAAGACTTGAACATGCCTTTTTAATTTAATAGAAGAGAAATGATCAATATAAAAAATGCATTATTGAAGAGAATCCCAAAAAGGAGAAAATAAGAATTGAACATGCCTTTTTAACTTTAATTGAAGAGAAATGATCAATAAAAAATGCATGAAAATTGAAGAGAATCCCAAAGGAGAAAATAAGAATTGAGAATCTCTTAGAAAATTACATATTGATTCCCTCAAAATATAGTTTAACAATGGTCCGTTTCAGATGGTTAATCAAGGCCGCAGAAAATAAGAGTTGACTGTCTTAAGAGAGTCGGAGCCTTAACCAGCCTGATAATTGTTTTGATGTACTTAGCTGCTTTTTTTTTTTTTTTTTGGAAATTGTAAAACAAACACACTTTTTTGGAACCCCTCCCCTCATTTTTGAAGATAGAGAGAGGTTATAGCATCGGGTTAGAGCTAGGTTAATTAACCTGATAATTCTTTCCATTTACTTATAGCTAATTCTATGTTATTGCAAATTGATGCATTCTTCTTCTGATTTCCACACTAGGGTTGATGGTATTAAATTGAAAAGCTGGCGGTAAATATGTTCTTTTTAATCTCCCTTTGTGTTGTAGCAGTACTCGCAATAGTAGTTGTATCCTAAAAATGAGTTCCACTGTTCCATCTCCTCGGTGTGAAAACTATTTGTTTTAACAGAAAAGTTCATATCAATATATATATATATATACATATATTATATATATATATATATAATATTAGCTTAAACCTTAATTCTCTTTCCTTCTTTAGCCATTTTTATTCTTTTGGTTATTATGGTTTTGGGGATATTATAGGTTCTTTTTCTTAGGTTGTCGTGCTTAGTACTTTAGGCCGAAGAAAGAAGAAAAAAAAAGGCATCTATAAAGTAGAGCATCTGGTTCTGATTGTTTGCCTAGTTATTTATTTTCTTGGGGCTTTGATGCTTAAGGCTTCGATTGGTTACATAGAAATTAGTGGTGGAGAGTGAAAGTAAAAGAAAGTTGAGTGAATGAAAAAAATATTAAAATTTTCAGGTAAGAAAATTGTGAGAAATTATTACTTTATAGTTTAAATAATAAGCAACTTACCATAAAAGAAAGAATATTATTCTTCATAAAATTGTTCTTTTCTTACTAACCAAATTTGAAAAGTGTTCAGAAAATTTTAATTTCCTTCATTTTCTTGCTACCCAGAGAGAGATTCTTTGAATCTCCATCTGATTCTTCCATAATTTTGTCACTTTTATTGCATTGGTAATTGGTTATTTGGTTGAATAAAATTCTCACTAATGGTGGTCCATCGATTATCATGTCTTAAATGTGTAAATGCAAGATATGTGTAGATACAAGACATATCATGCTAAATAAAATTCTCACTAATGGTGGTCCATCGATTATCATGTCTTAAATGTGTAAATGCAAGATATGTGTAGATACAAGACATATCATGCTAAATGATCATTACTTATATATATATATATATATATATATATATATATATATATATTATTGTTGGCGCTAAAATCGGCCCTTTAGATTCGATTCGGAATTGATGTGATACAGGCGTACCAGAACTAATTATATATATGGTTCAAGTATAAGTTGTTAACTTCAGTCTCTTTGAGAATGTTGACTTTCAGACGATGCGAGGAAAAAAGGGAATAGTAAAACTCCTCTTTGAGTTCAAGAATTGCCTTAATTAAAAGGACTTTTATAATGAATAATTTATAATAGAAACAAATAGAGAGATAGAGAGAGAGATTGATAGGATGAGATAGAGAGAATAAAAGAGATAGGGATAGAGAGAAATAACAAGGATGCTATTTTGGGAAAGAGCTTGAGAAAGCAAAACATAATAATAAAATGATTGTGAGGCTGCTGGACCTCTATCACATAATGCCTTTTTGATTATTTATAGAAAATAATGTAAAACAAACTCATACCCACAAACATTTTACTTGCATTACAACTCTATCACAACTAACTATAAATTCAAAATAAACTAGACCTAAAGATAACCCAACTAACTATAAGTTTAAAATAAACTAATTTTAAACATAAATATAAATATTTAACTTACATCAACTAAAAGATAAATACTAAAATTATAATCCCTCTCTATTAAATAATTCAAATGCTTCAATCTCCTTTGCCTCTGAATATAGCTTCTGTAATCTTTTCCATGTGTTAATTTATACCCAAATTGGTTGCTTTGTCATTGATACAAAATTTTTCAAAAAGGGTGTCAACAATGCCCTCCAATTTTAAATGTCTTATTGGTTGTTAGCCGTCCAAGCGAATAAGATTTTGAAATTTAAAATATATTGGAAGGAAATTTTGAACAAGGGTTGCGCTAGTCACTTGAAATAAGATTGTAAATCAACGAGCTCCAAATGTTTATTACTTTTGAATCACCCCTAAGATGATCTTTATTTAGCCAAATCTGCCGATTTAGGCTTCATCCTAGATTCTCGTAAAGTTTGTCGATATCATCTGCCCATAATGTAATACACCTAATTTTAAAATGATAGTCTCGGCATTTTTAATATTTATTGTATTGCATTTTTATTTATTTTATTGTCTTTATTGCATTTTTATTTATTTTATTGTTTTTCATTTGTTTAATTGGTTATTTGAAATTTGAATTAAATTAGTTTTATGTGCATTATTTGGTTTATTTAAATTCTTAATTGTTGTGTCTATTTTCGTAAATTATTAATTGTATTATTTGCAATTCACTGTTTTAAACTTAGGTAATTAACTTACTATAATTCTTGTAATGTTAAAATTAAGTTACGTGAGTTTTTAAATACATTAATTGACTCACAGTTTCTTTTGGGCATCAACATAGAATTTAATCATAGGTTTTGTTTATGGGCCGACTAGGATTAAGATTAGGGCTCTGCCTCTAAAATTATAAGGATTAGGGTTTTAGAGTTAAACCTATAAATACAACCATTATGCTTTAGCCTAGGGTTTACAATCATAATTCAGATTACATAAACGTGAAGTAAGTTCTTAGCACAGAGGGTTGTGAACGGAGGCACTGTAAGAATTGTCAAGGAGAAGAACAGTGAGTACTAAGGGAGGATTTTGGTGGATTAGACTAGAACTAAAGGAGGCTAGAAGGTAGTCTGCGGTTGCCGGAAGTTAGGACGACGGCGACTAGTTTTGAGTCTAAAACTACAGGCAAGTTCTTCTCTTCCTCCTTCCATCTGGCTTGTGTTCTGTGCACCTAGATAATCTCTAGGGTTTAATTAATTATTAAGTCAGAACCTAAATGCTTACCATATAAAATATTGATGATCTTTGCATGTTAAAATAAATTCTGTTAATGCTTACAAGTCTTGTTTCAGTTCTCTGTTAAAGCATGTTTTGTTGTTAGCAATTTTAGTTTCTATAATTGTTTTTAACTTCTGTAAATAAATCATGGGGATGATTATGGGGTGTTATAGGACTCTTAAGATCAGTAGTGAAGAGGAACAGAGGGGTTGGACTAGAACTGTTATTGCAAAATAGTTGCAGATTTGTTCCTAACGCGTGTTAGTTCGGTAGCCAATTGAACCTCTGTAATTGATTCTAATGGTTGTTATCAAACCTTTGGGATGCTCATGGGTGTTAATAAGATGCTTAAAATCTATTTTAGAAACCAACAGAGTGGTAGGAATTGATCAGAGAGGGAGCAGACGGACTGAAACGAAGCAACGGGGACAGAGGCTCTCAAAGGAGGTGAGAGCCGGCTCCATGGATGTGGGAGCCGGCTCCCACAACAAGTAGAGCCGGCTCTAAGGACTCCTAGAGCCGGCTCTAGGCTGAAAGAGCCTGCTCCCAAAATTTGGAGCAGGCTCCCTTTTGCAATATACGATTAATTTTATTTTTTTTAAGTTTTAAGGCACTGTTTGGTAATTTGGACACTGTTTGAGCCTTGGGATGTTTCTAATGGATTGTGGGGACTTTCCAGAGGATCTAATTACTTGATTCTAAGTGTGATTAAACTAGTTGATGCATGGTTTAAGTCTCTAATATAAAGGATAAAATAGTATAAAAACGTATGACTTAGTACACTGTTATCGGATGGGACGAAATAAATTGTTTAGGTTAATTTAGCAATTTGTTGGACTATAATAG